GAAAAAAAAATATATATGTATAAAAAAAAATTGCTCAACTCAACTCTGAACATCATTTGCAGCATCAAAGCAAGAAGCTCCACAGCAACGCCGGCAGCATTGTAAAAGTGGGCGGGGCTGTGGGGGGCTAGGCAGCGGATTGGCAACTTTGACGCTGGCATTGGCTAACACCCCACGTCGCGCACTTAGACCTCATCATAATTAATTAAAAAAGTTTTTTAAATCAATTTTGAAATGTCCCAATGGCTGGATGTTTGATGAACCATGGTGATGAACCAGGAAAAAAAAAGAAGAGAGAGCATCAACAACAACAACAACAACAATAGCAACATGTGAAAGTCAAATGCACTGCAGAGCATAATGCGAATTGCTTATTAGAAATACGTAATTGAAGCTATAATTCATTTATAGAGCATGCTTTATTCGCCACACGCCCGAAAATCTGTTCGCCAACAAATGCCAATAAATTCCAATACGAAGTGAAAGTTGGCCCAGAGCTCGCAGCGAAACGTTTTGAATGCCACTCCAACAAAGAACTTTTAATTAGTTATGCTTTGCGCCTCGACTCGACCTCGGCCATTGACTGAGTGTTGGCGCACAAAAGTGACAACAGACAAGACATTCGCCAATGCTAATTAATTGCTGCAAAGCTGATGCAATTGACAAAGGGGGCAAGCGTCTTGGCGCGCAAAGCCGCGCAATTTTCCAAAAATATTTTCCAATTTAATGCGCAAAGCTTCAATGCTGAATGCGGCCATAAAAAGCCAGCAGCAGCAGCAGCAAGAGCAGCAGTAGCAGGAGAAGGAGTAGCAGGAGCTGACATGCCATTATAAAAATTGAAAATGCCAGCTACGAGCAGCGCACTCTGATTAAGGTTAGCTGTTTTCTATACCCTCAACTCACTCTCTCTCAATGGGGTAGAATGCAATGCAGATGTTGTTATAGATATATAATTATTTGCTTGATGCATGACATTATCTAACTATTATTATAAAATTATAAAAGGATTGCAGTCAAACTATGCAAGGCTACATAATATTCAATTTTCTATAAAAAATATTAAAGCTTTCATGTCACAACAAGTTATTTGGAAAATGCAGCTCACATACTGAGTAGCTAAACGAAGAAGGAAAAATTGCTTTGGCATTATCGAGAAAGGAGCGATGCTTATATGAAGCGTGCCTGAACGTCTTTCTATATATGTATGTATATGTGTATATGGGCATCTATGTGCATATTGATAGAAAAGAGAGACAGAGATAGAGAGAGAGAGAGAGAGAGAGAGAGAGAGAGAGAGAGAAAGTGAGAGAGATATGCATTTATATACTCTTATCATATCATATTATTAATCACACACACTCAAGCTCCAGCTCAATAATTTCAATTGTGACAGTATTTACTAGTCGAGCACTCCCCACTTACCCGCCCTCGTTGTTGTTATTTTTGATGTTCTGCTCGTTGTTGTGCCGCCAACATGAACATGCTTGTGGCACTGGTTGCGCTGTTATTCGCTTGTATGTCTGGCGTCGCATCAAATCGCAAAAAGAGAGCAAATCCAAGCCATGAGGGCAATGCATTCTCATTTAACCCGCACACCAAAACTAATTCAACAAAAACGACTTTAAGTGCGAAATGCCACAGACATAAAGCGGGTTGTCCTGCACTGAGATACTCCTTAAGATATGCAAATGGGGAAATTATTAAGCTGGGCATACATATATAATATGATCATGATATGATATACGTTATATGTATATAGACAAGATGATGCAAGGCTAGACTTTAAATGAAACAATGTATAATGGAAACTCAGTCAAAATAAGAACGAAATAAATGAAATCTTTTCAAAATTGTCACTTTAGATATCTCTGAAGACTTATGGAACAGCTTTACAACTCAGATATGGATACCTGAAAGGAAGGTTCTTAAAAGGCTTCAGTTGCTTTTTGATGCTTTTGAAGAACTTCAAGCTTACATTTTATTTTTAATGTAAATAACTACCAAGAATTTATTTTCTACAAAATCATATTCTCCGAAAAAAAAAAACCCTGACCATTTCCTAGATGATCCTTTCACAATGGCCCACTTTTGATGGAACACGCTCGACTTGAAACATCCGTACTTTCGATTTGTTTCTCACTTTTTTCAGTAAGCTAAAAATATAAATATATTTAAATAGTCTAAAAAGTCTTGTAAGTATACGGAGATATCGTTTTAGAATTTTATGTATTTTAATAATACTTTTTAGCTGCGCAGGTAATATTTCCAAGAAATTTGTTTGTATGTGCTTCTGTAATAAAATACACATATTTTGCATCAAATATTCTATTAGAAATACATTTCCCAAATTTCATGTTTTTCTTACCCAAAATCACAAAGAGCGAGCAATTTCTTGGCTTCCATATTGACTTACGAGCAGATGCCAGATGCTGCTTACCCAAGTCATTTGCCCGAAAGTCTACAAAATAATATACCCCACAATTTCTGCATATGGAAATAATATATGCCGAGAGATAAGGGGTGAGACAGAGAGAGCGCGTGAGCTAGAGTGAGATGGGCATAGGGTACATAAATAAATAGTTGAGCAAACATTCTGAACTTTGGCGTTGAATTATAAGCAGCGCCGGAATCTATGCACTATAAAAATGCAGCTCGTTCCTGGCCAAAGAAAGGCGAAGCTTGAAAGGCGAAGCTGGCGAGAGAACAAGCCAGGTAAACAGGCAGCCAGGTGAGCCAGCAGCACCTGTTTGCGCCTTTGTATGCGTGCGTGCATGGAGTTTGCTAGTGTGTGTGTGGGCGTGTGTGTGTGTATGTGCTCAAGTGCGCATAAAACGCGCCGCAGCAGAAGTGAGCAGCATTTTTATTTATTTTCTGCGGCGTAGTTTCGGTGTTTTTTTTTTTTTGCTTTATTTGTATTTGTTTATTCCTTCTTGTTGTTGTTGTTGTTCCTTTTTCCTCCTCTTTTGGGCTCTACTCGCTGCCAAATATGTATTTCTCAAATTCCGACTCCCGGGTACGGGGACAACTGCAATTGCAACGAGGTGGGCGTGGCTGGGCGACGTAGATAAGGTGGCAGTGGCTCGTTTGTAGCTGGAGCCAGTGCGAGTTTGTTTGGCAAAGCGCCTGTTTAACACTTAAGATATCGTATTTCTTACACACACACACACACACACACGCATGCACACACACACACACAGTCGGCTTGCATGTCTGCATGCACACACATTCTGGGGCCTTTGGCTTTGGCTGCTTCTGACTAAAGATAAATATGCATGCGGTTGGTTTTATAAGGCATAGCAAAGGTGCATTACGTATACGTATGGCATATACGTCAGCCATTTCAACAGACACGCCTCCTGTTCCGACACTGCCAACGCCGCCGCCGCCGTCGCCGCCGCCGCCTTTCGCACATTTGCATGCAATAAAGATGGCGGGCGATAACTAGGTTGCCAGCCATTGTTTGCCTTTTTCTTCACGGTGTATGTGTGTGTGTGAGTGTGTGTGTGCGTGTGAAACTTGCCACCCAAACAGCAGCTAGCAGTAGTTGTGGCACATACAGCGAACTTAGCCAGCCAAACACTAAAATAAAAGGCAATGTACGCCAAGTGCCGTCACCTGCCGCCGCCTGCTGCCATCTATTATGCAGATGTACAGCAGGTTCATGAATATATGCCAGCATTTTGTCTGTCTCTGTGTGAGTGTGTGTGTGTGTGCAGGAAAAATAAAATTAAAATACAAAAAAAAAAAAAAATGGGAAAATTGTTAAGGAAAAACTAGTAAGCATGCTGCAAAGTCGGACTGACAAAACGCCATATGTTTGTGCACGATAAGCACAGGTGAGCCAACAACAGCCATCTGCCATTGAGGCGCTCAAAACTAGTATAATTTTAAATTAGCTACAAGCACACACACACACAAACATATATACACATGCATATAGAAGTTTATATACACAACCATCCAATGGGCATTGCCCCGCTCGCAGCTCCCAAGCATATAAACACGCTAAGTAAATCAAAAATGTGCAATAAAACTTTGCAGAAAGGTGAGCACGGCCAAGCCGGATGGCAAAAGCTCATCTAAGTCAACGATAATGATTGCAATTCATTTTGATGACCTCACTAAGCGGTCGGACGTTACGATTTTGAAGTGCAATTTGGCACGCATCAATGAAGATTATCAAGGATGTGCTGCCATACCATACTATATACATACATACATATACATATGTACATAGATATATTTAAGTGGCCGCCAAGCATGTGGGCTATATGAGGTCTGGTGGCAACTGTTGCAAATCGCTGGCGCCACTTCAATCCACTCGATGCCACGCTCAATAAACAATAGTGTAACCAAAAAAATAAAGTAAATCCAGGTAGCGTAGTGTAGTCAAGAACGGGGCGCATCCTAAATAAACATTACTTATCCGCCGTGAACTATGCAGGTGACTGGCGCAGCTGTCGTTGCCAATCAGCTTGGCCAGGTGAGCGAATCTGTATGTGTGAGTGTGTGTGTGTGTGTGTGTGTCCAGTTGCTTGACTCCTGTGCTTCAAGCGTTTCTTTGGTTAGTTGCCCAGTGATTTTCCAATAAAAATGAAATTGCATTTGATGATGCCAGGATATGTTTTTTTCCCCTCTTTTTTTTCCAATCGCAACTTTTACTCGTTCTCGTTTTGCTCGCTTTTCAGTTTTCATGTTCTACTGCGTCGCTTATAGAAAATTGAATAAAAGTGCTGGTGGCATAACGACAAACTGTTCGTTGAATGAGCGCGTGATTGCATGACGCTGTTCTGCACATCTAGCCAGGAGGACGTTGAGGAGGAAGTGATTAGTGCTGCAGCGTTGTCCTTCTTGTGTTGGATGATAGCTACATATGAGTGTGTGTGTGTGTGTGTATTTATCCCAGTGTCGCATTACAAACAAGACAAACAAACAAACTCTATCTCTCTCTCTCTGTCACACACACACATCTACACAAGGCCACACAGCACACAATGTCAATTGTGTAGTCTAAACGATTTAAAGCAAAGCTTTGATTTTATTCTGCTCAGCAGATGTTTTTATTATTTACAATTTGTATTAAGTTACAGTTAAAAATAAAATAAAAAAGAGTTCATAAATTGCACATCAGCATGCACACGACCAAGATCAAGGAGGGCGATGAGCGGGTAAGTAAGGGCTAGCGCCACATGCTCTTCACATTAAATGATGTATATTCACCGCCTCTCGCTGGTCCTTCGCTATCCATTACCTACCTATGCAGGAGGAGATGGAACTGAATCAAATCTGGCGCGCTTGTCGTAAAATCCAAGGCGCCATTTACCGTTATAACTTTGACATCTGCGCCGATTTAAAGCAACATGATCCCGACTGCACCGGCTATGTTTCGGGTAAGCGCCAGCCTTTGGCCACCATTCAATGCACTTGCCGCCGTTTTATGCCCATTTTACGACCCCAACAGAGTCTATATTCACATCGGTGCTGGGCAAGTACCGCAAGGTGGTGGGCATGTCAGAGTTTGAGCTGAAGGATGTCACCGACTACTTTCAAATACGCGATGGTCGCGTCGCCTATCGCCAGTTCTGCAAGACGGTCTGCTCAGAAAGTGGGTGCACATGGGTATTCCACACTGATACAATGGCTAACACTTTCGCTTTGTAGATCTAAGCAAGACTGCCGACAAGGAACTGGCCACCGGACTGGAGTGGAACGATCCCTGGCATCTGAATGTCATCGTACAGCCGGAAGAGCGCCGCAAGCTATGCCTGATATTGTTCAAGATAGCCAAGGAGACCCACTTGCCATTGATGCCCTACTTTCAGGACTACGAATTGGTCAGTTAGCAGTATATCCAAAGACTTTTATCGACTGCAAACTATAACAAGGCATTACGATTATAATAAATGACGAATAGACGACCGGACGGACAGATGGACGAATCGGCGGATGCTACGGACGGCCAAACAGATAGACCGATAAACGAATGGGTCAACGGACGAGCCAACGGACGGACAGACAAATGGTCGAAGTGGCAAACGGATGGACGAACGGACGGACAGACAAGTGGTCATTTTTACAGTCGGATGGGTGGACGATCCAACGAACATTAAGGATGTAGGGAAGATAAGACGAAGGAAAGAACGAAAGAGTAATTCGAGTATGGATGGACGACGGACGGACGATCAGACGGCCGGTAACACAGACTTTGGGACAGGTAGATCGACAGGCGAATAGACGGACGAATGAACAAACAGTAGGACGAACGGACAGACAAATTAGATATTGACGGATGGACGGTAGGAGATTAAACGCACGGATGGATAGACGGACGAATGTTTGGACTGACAAACTCAGTTAACTGAATCGACTAAGTTCGTCATATCCTGATCAAGAAAGTTTTTGTATTATAGGATCAACCAAGCCTCCTTCTGCCTAGTAAAGGCGATTTTTATTGAAATCCCAATTTTAATAAGCTTACAATATAACACTGCCTTCATATTCTTGAGCCCCACATGCTCAAACTATTCAGCAGATAGACTAAAGCTACTATTTATTTATAGGTATCTCAACATGTGGGCGTAGTGACCGTCTCGCACTTCTCGCGCGTGCTCCACTTTATGAAGATACCATTATCGGAAGCCGATTACTTGCTATTGCTCAAGCGCTACATGAAGGACGGCTATTTGGTCAACTATGTGGCCTTTCTCAAGCACATTGACAATATTATTGAATACTTGCGTCATCACAATCTACTGGATGGTTCGGGAGTAAGTTTTGTTTAGACCTACCTTTGAATGCAGTTGGTAGATAAACTCTTTCCATTTAGGATCTGATTGAGAACTTTCCGGGTCGCCTGGTGGACCTGGAGCTGTCACAACTGCCAGCGATCAATGGCTGCCAAATGATACATCCCATATTTCCAGATGCGTGCAACCATCCAAAAAAGAATCGCGGCGAATGCGATATCATATTCTGCATACAGAACTATGTGTATAAGAATCGTATACGCACCTGCGAGTTCCTGGAAAAGTTCGATGCGCTGCAGGTGGGCTGCATCACCAAGAATCAATTCGAGCGCGGTCTCTCGCTCATGGGCGTGGGCAAGTACCTGTCGCGACGTGAGTTGGACTTGGTGATGGATCGCTACGTGGATCCGGTGGACACGAATCGCATACGCTGGCGCAATTTTGTCGATGAAATCGATACGGGTACGAGCAGCATGAGATCTCCATAAAAGTAGGGCAAATCTCTAACCACTCTGCCTCCATTCAGTGTTCACCATGAAGAATCTGGACAAGATGCCGCAGTGTGTGGTCGAGTCCCCGTTGGCGCATATCAAGGAGATGCCACGACCTGGCACCCTGGACTGGCAGGCGGCCCCAATGGATGTGCGAGAGCTGTGCGAGGAGGCCATAGCCAAGATACGGATACGCATACGCAATCGTCGCTTATATCTGCATCCGTTCTTCCGCAACTACGACAAGTGAGTAACAGAGCGAATGCCTAGTGAAGGTGAATGTTACTCTTCCGTTCTTCTTCTGCCTCGCCAGACTGTTCTGTGGCCATGTGAACTGTCACCAGGCCAATCAGATCTTTCGCATCAATGGCATACTGCTCTCCAATGCCGAGCTGGATGCTGTGCTGCATCGCTATGGCAACGAGCTGGGCTTCTACTATACCAAATTCCTGGAGGACGTCGATCCGGCCGAGTATGCCATGCCCAACATGGTGGCCAAGCAGGATCAGAAGGAGTGTCCGCCGTTCCCGCGCGACAACAAGGTGCCGGAGCAGCCCAGCGAGGAGGTCATCACGCGCATCCTGACCAGCGCCAAGCGACAGGCCCTGACCAAGGGTGCCTCGGTCTTGGACTTTTTAACCGACTACGATCGCCATCGCGAGGGACTGATATTGGAGAGCGACTTCAAGCGCGCCCTGGACAATGCCTTGGTCATACTCAGCGAGGAGGACGCCAACATATTGTGCAATGTGTAAGTAGATCTAGGGATACCCATAAACACCAGCCTTCACTTCAATGTGGTTTGCTTTCTGGGGTAGCTTCCGTTCGCCGACTCGCAGTGCCTGCATCATGTATAAGGACTTCTGCAAAGCCCTGGACGAGATCTTCATACAGTACGATACGAATATGGGTGACAAACTGGTTACGGCCGTGCCGCTGTTGCACTTGCCAAATCTGGACTGCATCGACTGCTTCCTCAACTTTGATGAGCGCACCACCTGCTCGAAGGCGCTGATGAAGCTCGCCCGACGCCCCGACGAGATCTCCAATCTCAGCCAGGTGTTCAAGGACTTTGATCGCCAGAGCTGCGGCTCGGTCACCCAGAACCAATTCCTGCGCGCCATCACCTTACGTGAAATGCACAACATGCTCAGCAGCCGCGAGTTCGAGGCGATTGTCAAGTGTTTCGCTGTGAAGCGCGGACTCTGCTTGGAGTTCAACTACCGCGAGTTCCTCAAAATCTTGGACGTGCTCTATGCCACTGGCCAGATGAAGCGTAATTACTAACAAAACAAATTACCCGTAACATTTCTTGTGAGTGCTAAATTTCCCGTATACGTTTAAGTCCCCCGCGTTCTGCATTCGGCATCGAAATCCCATTTTGAGCGTGCTCGTAAATGTGTAAATAAAAATTGCTTAATTTGATTTTTTTTTTGTTGTTTTTTTTTAATTGAAACTTGTCGCTTGAATTTTCCGGTCCATATTGAAATCCCAAGGTTAACATAAATATTTATTCAATTTCAGAATGTACTATAACTATTATTAAGTGTGAAATGAAACATTTGCTTTGATCGCTTTTTAGCTTGAGGCTGACTCGATTAGCTGCTGCGGTAAGAGCAGCAGCGGATGTAAAAATATCTGAAGTAGAATGCAAATCTGAAAATTCTACTATAATGCTAGTATATAGTATATATATATATATATATATATATATATATGTATGTATGTATATATCAATTAACTGCCAGCTGGTAACTGAACACAGTGCTGCCACGCCTACACCGTTTGTGTCCCATTCTACGCTAGCTAGACATATTTTCTTTCTTTACGGACGTTTGTTTTTTCTTTTCTTGTTTAGCATAACAAATGTTAAATAGGTTTTCGTTTTTAAATAGCTATAGTTATTTGTATAGAGTTATATGTAGGTATACGTAGGTTTAACAAATATGCTTGCAATAGTCTCGTGGAAAAAACTATACATTATGTAGTTCAGTTTGGATTTAATAATAATTATTATTATTAATCATTATTATTATCATAGAGCTTGATGCAAGTTTGAATAGTTGTTTACTTTGTTCTTGTCATGCTGCATTAGATTTGTATTAAAATATAAAATTCTCTTTTAATTTGTATACATATACATATACATATACATATATATATATATGTGTGTACTTTATAGACTATTAATGAGCGCAAATACAATACACAAAAAACGTTTACCATTTATATCGGAAAAATCATTTGTTATTTGTAATTTGGTGGATTTGTTGTTTGTTGTAGTTGATAGCGAACTTGGACACTGCGCGGCGGTTGCCCGCCTTAAAGATCGCCCGGCCGCCCGCACCGCTGGCGCGCCAGCTGCCTAGCGTTGCACTATGATAATAATTATTATGTATTACATATTACAATTATTAATTAATTAAGTTTAAACAAATACTTAACGACTATTGTATTTTATATAATGTATTTACTGTTACTATTAAACATGGTTGCCGTATATGAATTCTGAATTTCGTATCTCTATGTGTTTGTTTGTGTGTGTGTGTGTGTTGCTGTTGTATGTGTGCTGTATTTATCTCCCTATGCGTATGTGTATGTGTGTATGTGTGTCTGACCCTGCTTACAAGTTAAACAATTACCTCGCATAATGTATGAGACTGCACATAAGAAAAAAACAAATTAGTTTGACCCCACACACACACACACACACACACACACTCATCCACATACACACACATATACAGTATAAGTGGGTGTGGCATAATGTTATGTGGTACATTGTGGGTTCTCTTGGTGGGCAATGCTGGCTTAACGAGCGTGTGGCTATGAAAAATTAGCCACATGCTGAAAAATTACATTTCTCCAAGCCTAACTCTAAGTTCTCTCTCTATTCCTTGCTGCGTGTATATGTATATATATATATATTTAATTATATATAAATGATGCGTTGCTTCCTGGACATGTAGTTGCCTTCTGCTTTCTGCTATAGTAGTGTTGCTTGTTGTTGTTGTTGTTGTTGGAATGGTGCTACACAACAAAGTGTGTATGGTTGTTGTATTTCTGTTCCTCTGGACTGCAATTTGCCATGAGAATACGAGTTCTGTCCAGCAGTCGCCTTATAGAAGTTTATAGATGCGCATGCGAAAGTGTATATATGTGGGGGTTCTTCTCCTTGTTGTTGTTGTAGTTGTAGTTATAGTTGATTTTGTTGTATACTATTAAAATTGAATAACAATTACAATGACAATCGAATCTTAGCAAATATCTCCATCATTCTTACCATAACAAACTAAACTAAGTAAAATTCAAATAGTTTTGCAGTTATAAGTAGATGTCGGGCTCCAAATGCGGCCCGTTTAGTAGGGCTGGTGTCGTGGCTGGCGTCCAGTGCCGCGCTGTTTGCCACCGTTGAAGCCACCGCCGCCGCCTGTGTTTCAGAAAATTGAATACAAAATGATTAGATTCGCATTTGGCGATTGGAAACAATAATGATTGTTGTATAATTGGCATGCACAGCTGCTGCTGGGGGAAAAATTGTTGTTCACTTTGTTTTTGGTTTAGGGGTTTACTACAACGCCAAAGCGATTCAAGCGACTGGTGAAAATTTTGACCAAATCTAAGGATAAACAATGTCTAGTAACACAATTTTGGGACTCCAAATGGAGGATGGTCGAAATAAAAGACAGGGAAATATTAGTTGAAAGTACCAAAACTAAATGTAACAAATGCTCAGTTATAAGTAAGTACGAGAGGCTGGGATAGTAGATTTTACATTAACAAAAATAGATCAAATGGGATGGGAGATAACCAAGTTTAATTTAGTTGGGGGGGTAGATTTTTTTTTTGTAATTTTTATTTGTTTATTTATTTTTACGGCCATGTGTTGTGGCATACCTTTGGGACCGCCGCGCGGACCTCCGCCACCGCGCCCGCCAGCGCCGCCGCCACTCCCGTAGCCATTACCGCCAAAGCCACCATCAAAGCCGCCGCCATAACCGTAGTCTTTGTTTATAGATCAGAGTTTGGATACATTTTATTTTTTGTTTTTTTAGGGGTTCAAACACAAAAATTTGTTGTTGATCATGAGCACAAACAAAGCTTAGACTTAACAAAAATTTTATGTAATATCTATATTCTACAAATGGGCTTTTGCTTGGTTTTGGTCAAAATTTCTTTAAGATTTGTGGGCAGAGAATGGGAATGGTTGTAGGTGTAGGTGTGGGAGTGGATGTGGGTGTGGAGTCGGGTTCGGGTTTGGGGCGAGACATTGGGGTACGTTGTTGGAGGCGACACCGCGCCGAGGCGAGACAATTCAAATGCACACCACTGAGAGCTGGAAAAGGAATTCCACTGAAAACACACAATTTTGTTTAGTTTTTTTCTTTTATTTGCTCATTTCTCGATTTGCGGATTTTGATTATAAGATTGATTGGCTGTTAAATGATTGCTACTGTAGATCAATCATGTATAAATTATGATCTAATCTGGTTGATCTTGCTGTTGCGACTGCGACTGCGGCTGCGGCTGCTGTTGCGGCTGCTGCTCTTCCTGCTGCTGATGTTGTTGCTGTTTGTTGTCGTTGTTGGTTGCTGTTGTTGTTTACTTTTGCACAGGCATTACAAAAAATGTTTCAATTTGAAAACACATTTATGTCTCGTTGTTGTTGTTGTTGTTCATCTCCTTCTATCTAGTTATTTCCCTCATTTGAGTGTTGGGTAAACACAAAAATCAGGCGCAACAAGGCGCTCACACATACATGCGCGGTACGATTTTGTTGTTGTTGTTGTTGTTTTTGTTTCAGATGTTATACATATCTCTTAATCTGCTGCTGTCTCTGGGTATATGTTGTTAGTTAGTTGTTCACTGTTGACTTATAAACATGTTTCACAATGTATTGCAATTCATTTCTCAACTTGTTTCTCAATTTGACGCACTCTTTATGCATTTTATGTTCTAATTTTCTTTCTCTTTTTTTACCTCATTTTCCACACAACAATTTCAGCAATTCAATTTTAGATTTTACTTTTCGTTAAAAAATTTCCGAAAATTTGGTTTTGGTTTTTTGACAAAAAATTTCATTTGAATGGCCAAAAAATTTAACTGAATAAATCTGCTGCTCTTGTGTGTGTGTGTTTGAATGTCTCACCTCAGCAAAAAGTAATCAAATATTTATATTTTTATAATCATTTTTTTTTTTTGTTCTACTTTTTTTTTCGTTGTAGTTTTTTAAAGGGGATTTTGGGACTCGGGTTCGGGGGCGGGTTCGGAAGTTCGTGTGGGACTTGTCGCAAAAATTTTAGTATTGTAAAAAACGTCTTGCGAAAAACAAAAACAAATGCAAATTGTCAGCAAATTTGACTTGATACGAGTTAATATTGGTATTGTTATCATTTACTCTTAGTGTTGTAATTTTTGTTGTTAAAAACAAGAAAACTGTTTATATATTGATAAAAAAAATTTGCTTCAGAAAACATCTTTCCAAGTATTGTTAAAATTACTTTAAATGTATATATTATTATTATTATTTTACTTTATTTTTTTTAGATTTTTCAATTCATTGACTAAAAACAGATATTAATTACGCTAAATTACTTGTAAATATATAACCTTTAAGTTTAATAAAAAGGAGTAAATAAGAAAAAATATACGTTACATTAAAGCGAAATGAAATAATTGTTGTTTTGTGTAGTCGTTGTTTTTTTTTTTTATTTGGTACTTGGCGGTTCGTGGCTGTTGGTTGTAGGTTGTTTTGGCTGTTTTAGTCTGTATCTCGTTTTGTGACTATTCTTGGGAATTGCTTTCTGAGTCGAACAGACGCACAGACAGACTAAACACCAGAGACCCGTTAACCAATAACCATTTACCGTTAACCGGCAACTATTACGAAAATTTTATGGAAAATTGGTCAAGACCGTTTTTGGATATTTGCTTGGTAGTGGTGGTATAGAGTAGTCGGTTGTTGTATGTTTTGAATTTAACTCTCAATTTAAAAGTGATTTTTTTTTTCTTTCTTTTGTTTTCTTTTTTGTGGTTGTTTTTTTGTGAGGCGAAACATCGGAAAATTCGGCATTACAATAGATATATTGTAAAATATAAATATATAACACGTTAAGTTCAAAAATCATAATTAAAAAAATAACAGTATTTAGAGTTATTAAAAAAATAGTACAATTGGGTTTTTCTCTAACATTTAAACTGTAAAAACTGCCGCTTGGGACCCTTAACGAGTTGGCAACTGGCGCAATGTTAACATTCGCTTCGTATATTAACAGTTTATGTTATGCTAACAGCGCTCGCTCTCTGTTATGGCTCCCACTGGCAGATGTTATATTATGTTGTTGTTGTTGGTGATAGGTTAGTTGAGAAATTATAAAAAGAAAATTATGTATATATTGTAGTTATAGTTTTAATATAAAGTGGGCACATAATTATTGCTATAAAATATACAAAAAGTATTTTGTTTGTATAAAAAAAGAACTTGTTGCACAGTAAAACATTGTTATATGATTACGAATCAGCATAATTGGTATATAAAATATAGCATAAATATAAATTTGTAATATAAATGGTGGTATTATAATAATCATATATGTAATTTTTTTTTTGTAAATTTTTAATTTTGTTATTTTTTTTCTTGTATTTTTTTTTAATTTTTTTCTTTGTATAGACAACTAGCTAAAAACATTGAGAAACATGCAAATTTTAAAATAATTTACTCAAGTTTATGCATATATTATAATTTTTTGTTTTGTAAAATATATATACATACATAAAAATATGTATGTATGTATTGTGATACGTCAAATTGAATGGTTTCTATTGACAATAATTTTTAAAAGGTGATTGGTCTGAATTCCACATTCAAAATTTAACAAAAGAGATATATGCAAATATTTATGTGTGTGTATGTGTGTGTGTTTGTATATATGTATGCATGTGTATAATTGTGAGTTATTGTACTTAATATTTTAAAAAAAAAAAGAACAATAAGAAATATTAATATTTATCTAAATTTATTAATTAAAATTACTAAAATTGACGAAGTGTGTTGGTTTTTTCTTTACTGTTTTGTATTTAAACATTTTCATTGATTTAGTTGTTTTTAACTGATGTTGTTGTTGGTTTTGTTGGTATAGTTTGTGTATGTCAAAGTTGTTGTCGCTCTAGTTGTTGTTGTTGTTAGTTATCAACAAATGCCGCATTGTGCGTGCGCTCGTTACATTTCAAATCTTTGTTTCGTTTCATCAATGGTTTACAATGTTTGCTTCATTGTACGTTGCTAATTTTGTCTCTTACTCTTGGACTCTTGTTCTCTTCTAGTCAGCAAAATGCATGTTTGTTTGTTTGGTCAAGAAAGCAAAAAGCAGAAATGCAAATAAAAGAATGATTGGCCAAGCAACATAGTAAAGGACGAGGCCAAAGTGGACATGGAAATCGACTTAAGCAATCGATTTATAATCAATTGCTGAAGCCGACTTCAACTTCAAGCCTGGCCCTAACAGTTGGCTGACGTCACGTTGCTTTTGCGTGTTTGTTGTTGGTATTTGTTGTCGTTTGTTGTTTTTACAAGGATTTGCCTTAAAATAATACTATCAAAAATAGTACTCATTTGTAAAAATGTGATCATTATGCATAAATATACATACAACATTTGTATATTTTCCTTTAGACATATATACACATATGTATATATCAACATTTCTACATGTATATATATATAAATATGTGCACACATATATTGTGTATTGACGTTCGCATACGAAAACATATGCATTGCAAAAACGTAGATATTATCTCGTTGCCGAAATAATAATAATATACATCTAAAAATATATTTATATGCTATATATAGGTATATATATATTTTAAATAGAAGTTGAATCAAAGCTTTGATTACACGTTTCGTTTGTCGGTGTATATGTGTGTTGGTTTGTTTGTTTGTTGCTTTTCTTCGTTTCGTTTGTTTAGCGTTTTGTTCAACAAAACAAGATGGAAAAACTATTTAAATAACTATTATAAAGATAACGGGGTGAATGGAGTAATGTGATCAATCACATTTACATATATATATATATAAATATGAATGATTGAATGTGCTTGTGTGAGTAGGGGTATGTAATGTGCGGGTGGGTGTGTGGGTGTGTGTGTATGTGAGTGTGTCAACAGCTTTTGGTTTCAGTTTGTTCAAACAATAACAGTTAGTTAACAATAATAAAAGGCACAAGTTGCAATTATGCAAAAGGCCAAAACGCTGGCGATTCACACTGTTTCACATAATTGGCACATGATCTTGTTTATGTGTTCGTTTCTTTGTTATTTAGTTTAAGGTTTTTATCTGATTGTTGCTGTCTTCATTTCTAATTGTTGCTGTTGTTGTTGTTGTTGTTGCTGCTGCCTTCGCGTTTGAGGTATTTGTCATCTTTGGAAAGTCTGTTAAAAGCGACCTCTGGCGGCCGCACACATTGTTGTTTGTTTGTTGTTCTTAATTTTGTTTGTTGTTCCTGTTGGTCTGGTCTGGTATACAATAATTACAAAGTGTAGGGGAGAAACGCTCCCTTCTACTTTTCTTCTCTGTTCTTTCTCTCTAGATCTATCTCTCACTCGCGTTCTCTCTTTCTCTCTCTCTCTCTAGCTTTCTCGCTACGTCTCTCCTACTTTCGTTTTTGCTCCTTAAACAACACAATCATTAATACACACGCTTCGTCAGTTTTATATAATATTTAAATGCTAAACCACTAATAAATCATATTTGATTCTAAATTTGTTGAAAAATTGATAGCTTTTCAATGAATTCTTGTTTTAAAATTATGCTTTAAGATTTTTAAGAATTTAAATATGCATTTTTGTTGAATAGATTTTAAAAATAATTATGGTAGTATAAACTCATATATAAAATTATTGATTTGAATGTGTATAAAATTATCTTTATCAACATATAATTGCAATTTTAAAAATGATTTTAAAATTTATATTTAAGCATTAAAAATATATTGTATATTTTTTTATTATTTATATATTTGTAGTTAAAAAGTTTTCTTGTTTTTAGCGACGTTGTTTTGTTGTTGGATGTTCTTGTGTTTCTAAGTTCTTATTTAGAAATGCAGCAAAACGTTTTTGTTTTTGTTTTTCTCTCCGTTTTGTTTCTTGTCTCTTTTGCTAACGGCAAACAACAATATATAAATATATATATAATTTTCTTTTGTGTATGGTAGAAGGGAAATTTGTTTTCAAAATGTTGTATAATGGCATTTTCTGTTTATTGTTGTAGTTGTTGTTTGTTTGATTTTGTTTTTGTTTTTGTTTTCATTTGCATGGTTTGTTGCCTGCATTTGGCTATATTAAAACTGCTGATAGTTGTTGCTATTGTTCTTGTTTTGATGATAATTACTTGACGTTGGGTTATTGTAATAATTGTTATGAGTATTATTATGTTGTTTGTTGTATTTACCATAACCATAGTCATATCCATTATAGTAGCCACCGGCATAGTAATCGGCAAAGCCACCGGAACCATAACCACCATAGCCGCCATAGCCCGAATACGAACCCTGGCCATCCCATTGATGGGAATAACCTATATTAATTATGAAAATGAGAAGAATTGTTGATAATTCTCGAAAAGTGTACAAATTACTATAGAATACTGACCACCACGTCCGTATCCGCCTCGTCCACCTCGCATGCCGCCTCGCGCTCCACCACGCATGGCCATCATTTGATTCTCAGGTTTTGGTGTTGCGCGCTTCACATCAACTTCTTTGCCAGAGATCTTCTGTTTAGGCGTTTTCAGCAGATCAGTGACCACCTGCTCTGAATCGAAGGTAATGAAACAGAAGCCCTTGCGGTGTGACTTTTGCTTGTCGAATGGCATCTCCACCTCAACAATCTGTGAGAACAACACAAAGCTTAAATAAGTGTTGTTCTACATAGTTAAATTAATAAGCACACGTACATTGCCAAACTGACTGAAGTAGGTTTTAATTTCCTCATCGCTAATCTCTGTGGTCAGGCCACCGACAAAGATCTTGCCATGTCGGGCCTTCGCCTTTTTGGGATCCACCTTCTTGCTGTTGATGATGTGCTCCTCAGCGGCGGTGACCTGATCAATTGCCTCTGTGTTTGTGAACACAATGAAGGCGAAGCCACGTGACCTGCCCGTCTGAGGATCTGTCTTTACATTGATGCTCTCGATCTCACCGAACTTGCCAAAGTGATCGCGCAATTCCTCTGCAAAATGAAAGGAAAATTTACATTAATTACATGTCATGTATATGAAAGATATATGTACTTACTCTCAGTCGTTTCCCAACTGAGTCCACCAACAAATAGTTTCCTGCGAAAGTTGACGGAAAAGGTTTTGATAAGTTCAATTATTAAAAATATAAAAGTTTACAAAATTATATTCATAATTGCTACATAGAAAACTCTGGTTTCGTAAGGTTGGAAAAAATGGCACGACAGAAACGTTTATTCTTTTTTATGAGTGTGGAAAATTTGTGTTTGCACATATCAGAAAATATTTTAAATTTGTTTTCTGCCCGCACATTTGGCGCTTACAAAAATGTTACTTTATATTTTGTCTTACGATTTACTTTTGTTAATAGCTGCAAATATAGATTAGAGTCGGAGCAAGAGAAAAGACGAAAATAAAAAATAAAGAAAGTAAACTCACCAAATTCAAAGTGAATATAGAGCTTATAATTACTGTACTTTATTTAGTTAATAAACTTTCAATCAAGGTTCGAAAATGTGCATCGAAAAACTGAGCGAAAGATACGGCGAGGGAGTAGAGTCACAAAACGGGCGAATAATACGTGAATATATATACATATATATATACATATATGTATTTATATATATATAAATAAATGCAGAGTGAACTTTTAGCTTTAGTATAAAAATATCGATTTTTGTGTTTTTTAATACATTTAAATTTTTTGTTGTTTATTTCTAAATATGAGAAAATGCAAGTATTTTTATGCTGATTTTAAATTTATGCAATTGCTTTATTTTAACTAAATTTAAGAAAAAAAATAATTTTTTATTGATACACTTAAAATATTCTTGGCGTACGTTACTCATAAATATTAGAGAATATCACTGCGGGGAAGGTAATGCAATTTGGAACAATCTCATCACGGCGGCGGAATTTAGAGTGTGGAAAAGTTAGACGGTAACCGCGTGTAGGCATTATTTGAAACGTTTTTAGACTCGTTATCGGTTGCGATTCGGTATATATGGGGTCGTTATCGTTATCATTATCAATATCGTTACGTTACGTTCATCAGATGCGCTTCTTTAAGTAGGCAAAAACAAACAAAAAAGGCGAGTCTCTCTCTCTTTCTCTCTGTCTTTCTTTCTCTTTAATTTTTGGTAAACAATAAAATGCATTATACTTTGTATATAGAGATATATAATATTTTTTTTAGGATCCAATTGAGAACTCGAGATAATTTGTTGATAATTTTGTGTGTACAAAGTTTTGGTTTTTTTTTTTTTTTTTTTTTTTTTGTATTATTTTGGTTAGATAAATACCATCATCAACATTGCCGGCATCCGTTTCACACGCTGCATCCTTTGGGTAAATTCCTGTGGGCCACGGCTGCTTGAGAATAGCTTAACATGGCTTTTAACTTCTCTCAAGACCTGCCGGAGAGGAACAAGGTTAGTTCGCTCAAACACAACAGGATAAGCTATGAATTTGTTTTTGGATTTTTTTATTGTTTATTATTGATTATCGTACACGATATAGCTCCATTTGCTTTACGCTGCTTCCATTCAATTTATACTTTCTTCCTTTGTTTATTTCTTTACTGTACAACTGGTTGACTGTGACTTAAAGTTAACTTAACAATTAATAAATATGCAATTAGTTGACATATTGTTAAAACTCGACCTAAAGCGATTGAACTAAATAAAAAGTAGAAAAGTATTTAATAATCAACCTTTCAACATTATTATTAAACATCTATGGATTTCACTTGTTTATTAACAAAAAACAAATATGTATCTAAGCGAGCAATAAATAAAAACAAGGTACAAATCGAAGTAGTTTTTGAATCGCCTCGACAACACTGCCGGCATAGTGACGGCCTCAGCAACAGCAGAGCGCGAAGCCGGCTAGCAAAACGGAATGAATGTTTAAAGAAACGAAAGAAACTGCATACATACATACATACGCACGCAGCGAGTCTCGCGCTGCGAAGCAAACACAAAAACCGCCATTTTGGGTACAAAACTGGAAGAGCACGAAAACGAACGAACGAAAAATATAAATTATTGCAAAAAAAATATGTACGAATACAAACAAAGCTTCATACAAGTGAAAGGCTGTCAGTTGTGAGGCATGCGTGGGGCTTGAAGGAGGGAATAGCACACGCTTTGCGTCTTTCTCTTTATGAATACACTCATACATGTACACATTCATATACATGGATACATCTGTATATGTACCTAGGTGTGTATGAATATGTGTCTGATCAACATAACCTCACAACTGCGGGAAATGTGCTTCAATTGTCTTTGTTGAGACTGGAATTTTTGTGCTTTTGTTTCAATTGCAAATACAATTATCAATATCGATATGGCATAGAGACACACATAGTTCCGAATACATTCATATGTACATACATACACAGTAATGTAAATATAACAATAATAAATAAAACGTAATTCATACATTCAGATCTGTCAAATTAATATCTTGCTAAAAACAGGCAATCAAAAATTTTCCGACAGCTTCTATTATTATAACTATGTATGCTTAGTTGGACGACTGGCTGTTGTGCGCGAAGTACAGTCGCACACAGACACGCGCGCAAATACTGAAGGGGTCAGCGTCAGCGGCGCGCTAACTCCCGCCGCTGCCGCCGCTACGTCAAACACCATTTTTTACACTCGACGACGACGACGTTAACTTTGCATTTACGTAACAACAAAGAGTAGGTGGTAATAAAAAAAAAAATTGTATTTAGGCACATGATTTTTATGCACTTGAGGCTGTCAGGCTACCGACCGAATTGAATGTCTAATATTTTACTTAAAATACCTGTCGTCATCACGCTGATTACTCGCAGGGGCTGTATTTTCAGAACTGCCACCATTTGCAGCACCGGCAGCGGGAGCCGATTCACCATTTTCAGAGCTCGCCACATCATTGGTGGTAACATCCTTGGTGAAATCTTCGCCGTTCATTTCGCTATCGACTTGTTTGTCTGCCATTTTGATTGGTGGTGTGTATGTGTATTCTATTGTCAATTAAAACTTAATTAAATAGCACTTTTTAGCGATTTTCAGCAATCTTTTTCTTAGCACACTCGCCAAAACTCGCGCGAACGCTGACGACCGGAAAATGACAAATCCAGAGACAGCGTGTGTATATGGTAGAGGCGTTGCCAGCAAGTTGAACAGTTTAATAGTCCGAAATTAAATTTATTTTTGCGATATGTTTATTCTTTATATTTCAAAACCCAACACCCATAAGTAGTCGAATTCAGTTATATTCATAATTATTTTTAAGTTTTAACGCATTACAATAAATGCAATATCGAATAGTTGTAAGAAATATGAGCAGTCTGGCAACGCCACAATGTCACAATTTAGGGAAGAATATACCATATTCCAGATATACTTTTCATAGTCAATTAGTACAAAAATAAGAGTTATTTATTTTATTTTAATAAAGGGATTACATTATTTATTAAAATTAAACAAAAATTTTTTGTTTGGTATTTTTTTAATGCTTGGTTATGTCGCATTCGGAATTTGCGGTCACACTGCGACACACGACATCGCCGCCATCATAAAAGCGCACATACACAAACGCAAATGCACCGAGAATAAAACTGAAAACGGGGAACGAGTAAACGTCGGTTCTCTTGATTCAACACTTGTTAAATTTCATTGCGTTTGCGATTCTTTTTTACATAAATTAAACAAAACCAACGCATTCAAACTTAATATTTTACCTGTGATTGCCAACAACTAAAGTAAGAAGCAAGTAATGTGCGAAAAGAATTGCCAAAATTTGTAATTTTTGAACAAAAAATTGCAACAAAGCAGACGACGGCAAAGAAAGAAGCAGAATAAAGCGGCTGCTCCAAACCAACAAGCTTCGCGTGTGAGTGTGTATGTTTTTCGTGTGACTGTGTCTCTTTACATCAATAATAAATAACAGTATAAACTAAATTTTCATATATAGATACATATATATATTTCAGCATTTCTCAACTTTTAAATTAGGCCGCATACAAACTCCACACACCAAAAGTATAACATAAAAAATAAAACAAGTCCCTGTGCGACGGAGAATAACAGCGAAAAGCAAAACTAAGACCTCATAAAACACATAAGCAATAATTTTGTGCATTAGAAACAGACATCGAGCAACTGCTACCAAGGTGAGTACCAACTGCCGGCGTTCGCCACATGCTGCCGCCGCACATTTACGTAGTTACGCATATGAAAAAGAAATGTACCAATTCCAGTCAGGGTGGCAAATATTAAATGAATCGACTGACTTACAAAGCATACATATACGACAGATAGAAACACTTTCCAGTTTCTTTGCTGCCGGTAAATGTATTAAATTTCGCCTTTGCGGCATTTTTTTATCGCTTCTGCTTGTCGAGTCATAACCTAAAAGTGGCTGTGCTCATTTGTTTTTGTAAGTTTGTTTAAATGTTGCTCATTTTTTATTGCTTTCTTTGTTCGGACTCACACACGCGGTTCACGCATACAGCTCAACGCACTTTTGGCGGTGCTTATTTTTTCGTATGTGTGTATGTGTGCGTGTATTCGCGTTCTGTCTGCTGGCCAGTTTTTAAAAACGTTTTTGTTATCAATTTTGTTAGAATTAAAACCAAACTGCAAGGTGATGTTTACCTCACACCTGCATACAGTCTTATTAATCTTTTTCTTCCTTTTGCGGTTGGCCTTTGTTGCGAAATCGCAGCTGGCCGTTTAGGTAGGTAGGGAGTTTTTGGCTTCAATTCAAGAGTTCAATGAAACAACAGCTACCTGAGCAAAAGCGCAGCAGACTCGCGCACGTGCACGAACATGTTCAACAAAAATGTCCTATCCTCTGCTGCGACACAACCTTGAAGCGCAAACATAACCTAAAACTAGTTTACTCAGCTCACGTTCCCATTGCTGCGCCTCTGGTAGCTTTGTTGTTGTTTGCTGTGTATGTATGAGGTCATTTACTTTAAAAATAATTCAATTTTGTCCTTAAGCTTTTTTTTTTTACAAGAACTAAGAGAATATGAAATGCTCTGTTGAGTATGAAACGCAATAATAACAATAATAATAACAGAGACAGTGACAGCTGCATTTGGTCTTGTTTTGGAGTATGCACGAAATTTTCCCATTTATGCATTTTCTGTGGGTCGTCTGACCGTGTATACATATGTACATAAGTGCGAGTGTGTGTGAGTTAGTGCTGGGAACGAAAGTGGGTCAAACTGCAACTGCATTGAATCTTTTTGTCTGCGCTGCAGTAAAATTTTTGGGCTCCTTTTGCGTTTTTGTGTGTGCTCGAATATCCATTAACTGTATATGTCACAATCAATCAGTGTTGCCGATCTTCCGTCACTACATTTACTGTTATTGCATATACACATACGAAGATTGTGAATGTCACCAAAAAGGAATCAAAATTGGACTGAATAATAAATACATTTGGGGTATTTCTGTTTTTGTTTAAATTTTGCTTTCCGGTAGGATTCATGTGTATTTCGTTCAGCAACTAAGCAGACTTTGATTTATAAATAATTCTTGACTGGTTTATAATTTTTTTTATAAATACATAAATGTATTTATATTTTAAATATATATAAATATATTTATATTTATATATAAATTGTTTTACAGACTAAATCAAATTCAACTCGGCAAGAACAGTAAATTCTTCATCTCACTCTTACCGGGACTAAACTCAGCCGCTTAGCCAAACGCTTGGAACTCTAGCAATGGTCATGGATGCGACACAATCGCAACAGCCTTCGCCGCAATCGGTGGGACGCGAATTTGTGCGTCAGTATTACACGCTGTTGAACAAGGCGCCCAATCATTTGCATCGCTTTTACAACAACAACTCGTCTTTTATTCACGGTGAATCGACATTGGTTGTGGGCCAGCGCGAGATACACAATCGCATACAGCAATTGAATTTCAACGATTGTCATGCCAAGATCAGTCAGGTGGATGCCCAGGCCACGCTCGGCAACGGCGTTGTCGTCCAGGTCACTGGCGAGCTGTCCAACGATGGCCAGCCGATGCGTCGCTTCACCCAGACATTTGTCCTTGCAGCCCAATCGCCGAAGAAGTACTACGTGCACAATGACATCTTTCGCTACCAGGATCTTTACATCGAGGACGAGCCGGATGGCGAATCGCGTTCCGAAAACGACGAGGATCATGACGTTCAGGTCCAAGGGGTTGACCAGGCCGTCCAGGTTGTAGGCGAGGCCGCTCAACAGCCACAGCAGCTGTCCACTCAAGTGGTATTGCCACAGCCGGTCGTTCCCGTTGCTGCCGCTGGCGGAGCTGCTGGAGCGCCGCAGCAATTGTTTTATCCACTGCCAGCGGGCGCTGCTACTGGACGACCTGTGGCCGTTCTACCAGCTGCACCCCAAGCTGCAGCGGTGCCGTTGCCCGCGCAGTTCACGAACCCGCCGCCGCCAATCCAGAACGGAGTTGTGCCACACGATGAATTGCCACAGCAGCAAGGACCACCACAGGCCTTGGTTCAGGCCAACGTCTCGCCTCTGGTGCAGCAGCAGCCAAGTGGACCCGTGATGCTGTCCAATGTGGGTATTGTGCAACCAGTGCCAGTGCAGCCAGCTGCAGCCTTCCAGCATTCGCCGCTTGTCTCGGCACCACCTCAGCTAATACCCCAGCAGCATCAGCAACAGCAGCAGCAGCAACCACCGCAGACTCTGCAGCAGCCGTTGGAGCCGGAGGAGCCAATCAACAATGACGCCAAGGTGAGCCACTTGCAGAGGGCAACTACTCCAGTGGAGGACTTCAAGACCATTCATGAACAGCAGCAGCAGGAGAAGTACGAGGCCGCCAAGCAGCAGCAGAACGAGCCCAAGACTTATGCCAATCTGTTCAAGTCCACTTCATCGTCGCCCAGTGGCTTCGTGAATGCGGCACTGCAGCAACAACAGCAGTTGCAGCAACAACAACAGCAGCAGCAACAGACTCAGAGCACTGTATACACAACGTCTTCATCTGGCGGCGGAAGTGGCGGCCAGGCCAGCTACTCAACAACCGCATCTTCCTCCTACAACAACACCAACAACAATTCTCGCTTAGACAACGGCGGTCCACTGCCACAGCGCAACAATTTGATTAGGAACAAGGGTAAGTCACACTACCAAGAGGTGAAAAATATTCGCTTACATTTTCTTTTTATCCTCGATAGAATTCGAGCAACGTCGTCCGAGCAACGCACAACAGTTTGGCGATAATCAGCAGCTCTTCTTGGGCAATATTCCACACCATGCCTCCGAGGAGGAGCTGCGTCAGCTATTCTCGCGCTTCGGAAATGTTATTGACTTGCGTATTCTATCGAAGGTCGGCAAGATAATAACGGGCACACGCAGTCCACTAAACTATGGATTTATCACCTACGATGATGCCGAGGCGGTACAAAAGTGCCTGGCCAATTGCGTATGTAGCAATAGAATTCTATAGGACCTGATGATATATCTTTAACCATCTCTGACATTTGCAGCCCCTGTACTTCCCGGAAAATTCGCCCGACGGCCAGAAATTGAACGTGGAGGAGAAGAAACCACGCATGCGCAATGACATGCCACCCCGTCAGCCGATTGGCGGCAACAATGTGAATAATATGGGCCGCAACAACATGCGTGCCGGTGGCGGCAACAATGGACCGCGCATGGGCGGCAATAATGGTGCTAGCTTTGGACAGCGCAACGACAATCGCAGCGGCGGTGGCAATCAGTCCAATGGACCGCTGCGCGGTGCCGGCAATGGACAAACCGGTGGCGGCAATTATGGACGCCGTTAAAATGCAGAGTAGAATCTGCACTAGTTGGCCACAGGCAGTCGATGGCCGACACATCTAAATTATACCAACAACAGCAACAACAACAACAACAACCCAACGTCAGCATCGATTTCTTCCATAATGCAAACAATCAATTACCATCATTGACTTACACATTCACACACACATAATCACACACACACATGCGCACGCACTGACATCCGCCACACATCCACGCACACTCAGCAGTAGCAGTATCATCAGCAGCAGCAAGGACAGTAGACAACGCAAAGGAAAAAATATATTAACGATTTGTCTTCATGTTAAATGCGCTCCCTCGAGCGTTAACAGCTCCTTTGAAGGAGGCGTCGTGCTGCAATGAATTTATTTAAGCAATTGGATCGTCCGTTAATTAAGCTTGCTTTTACGCAATTCGTTTTCCCTTCTCTTTTCCCTTTCATAAGCCAGCTCGTGCCAAAAAGCAAAATTCTGTGCAAATTTTTGTTGTAAACCTAATTCTAAAAACCAAACAAGCTGCAGCACGACCTCCATAAAAACGAAAAACTACGCAAAAAAAAAGGAGATATAAATATAAAAAGATCGCGCCAACATGTCTATTATAAGGAAACCCACCACAAATACATGCATACATCTGCACTCGCCTACATACACATACACTCACACCCCCACACTGACATACTCACACATAAGAACAACTAACTCACACACTCACACAGTGTCACAGAACTTAGTGTAAATGTAAACTTTAATTTTCAACTATCATTTAAATTCGTAATTTTCAAAATTTTAACTATAAGTTAACAAGAGAAATGCTATAAAAAAAAACGAAAGGAAATGCAAAAGCGCATGTTTTTGTTTGTTTTGATTTTAATACAAATTACTTAAGCACTTAATGAATTCAATTATATTAAATGCGAATCATTACAATTAAAAACTAAAGAGAAAAGAAGATAAAACTTAGCTAAAAAAAAAAAAAAATCTTAAAACAAACAAAAAAAGCAAAATACTTTTTAAAAATGTAATAAAAAAAGCAAAATAAAGACTTAAAAACATAACATAAAAAATTAAAATTAAAAAAAAAAACAGTAACAGAAGAAATTATGTAAAATCGATTCGGAAAACCACTCAACTAAAAATTATATGTAGCGGAAGACCTCAACGACAAGAAACACTCAGACTTAAGTTCATATAAAGCAGCGTAGCACCGTGTGCGTTGCCGCATTTTCACGCCTCTCTCCTCTCCCATACACACACACATACATATGCCTACACAGTTTTCAGTTTATTTGCCAGCATGTAAAACCTAGCTAGTCTCTATATAAAAAATAATGGAACGAGGAAATTGTTGAAAACTTGAACGGAGAAAATGCGGTGCCGTCACGTGCACAATCGGCGGTTAGCGCCGGGTCTTTCACATGAATTGCAAGTTCGTAAACCAAGCTAAGTCAAGTAACTTAAACGATTTGGTGTTTTCCAACACAGTTGTGAACTATAAAGTTTAGTACATATTTTTTAAATAAAATCTATAAAACGAAAAAAAAAATTAAATGAAGTAAAAAGAACCGTGTAAGAACTCAAGCTACTAAAAATTTTTCTCAAGGTAAATCAAGCATATATCTAACAAGAGATGATAAATATATATATATATATACATTTATATACAGACGAAAACTTATAATGTTAACTTTTAGACCTTCTAAACAAACACAGAAACATGCCTGCATCAGAAACTGAAAATTACTTTCATAATTCGCATAAATAAACACAATTCACATTTATGTAATTATTTATAACATTGATTTGTGTACGCAAATTTTTAATATATATGTTTGAACTCTTTACCAACTCGATTAGTAAATTTAAATTTTTGTTTAGCTTTGAACATATCATTTGCGCCGTTAATTGCGCTCTAACTAAATCTTAGATTATTTTTTCTGGTTTATGTTTATTATTGTTTTTTTTTTAGTGTACCAGAAAGTAACGTTGGCACTGTTATCGGGGCGTTAAGCAATTTATAGAACATTTTTAAATTTAACAAAATGTTAGTGTTCAAATCTTAGCTCAAAAACAGTGTTAAAAGTGCTTGCAAAATAACGGAGGAAAAAATGAAAGAAGAAACAAAAAAAGAAAAAAAGTAAAATAAATGAAATATACAAAACGATATATGCAAGTATCGTTCATGCTCATTTCTAAGTAATACAACTATAAAAAAAATAAACAGTTTGTAAAAATAAAATACAAGAATAAATCTAATTTAATTTATAGGTATACAATTACGAATAGTTGTAAATCAAAAGTAAAATTGAAAAATTGGGTATGCTTACCAGAAAAGTCTTTGGAAACTGATTTTCATAATTGAACTTTGTACTCTATAAACGTATTAAGAAGTCCTAGATGAAACGCAATACTAGGGAATCGCCATCGAAATATAAAGCATAAAAATCACAAAAATTATTTAATATTAATAATAATATGTTTATGAGTTAAGCAAAGTTTTCTGGTCAGCTTGCCCACTAGTTCCAAATAATCAATAAAAACGTACTCAAAACACCAAGAAATATTAAAGAAAGAAAAGAAAAGAGAAATGTGTTTTCAGCAGCAAATAAAACCCATTTATTTTTTAACAAAAACAAAAACAAAAAGATTTTTGTATTTTAGTTAAATATTTATTTTTGAAATTAATTTATGTTGAAACCCGCATGAAGTTGGCATTTAACTGAAATTGATGCGCACAAAGGCAAACTTTGTTTGCATAATTTTAATAATACAACAAATATATATATATAATTAAATTTAAAAACCACTCATGAATCCATTAAACAAAAAACAATCACAGAAATTCATTAAAAATCTACAAATACAATTCAGTGGTGCGTTTTTTACCTGTTTCGGGTCTAAAACATTACACATTAAAAAATGAATTAATGAAATTATGTTTGAAATAAAGTGAGAGAAAAAACAAATAGAACTTTGCGATGAAAAGTCTACAAAAAGTGCAAACGTTTTTATTTATTTATATCAGTTGAACATGTCAGGTGTATTTGTTTATCCATCAATGTAAATAGGATACAACAATAATAGTAGTATTCCTTGCAGTGTTAGTTACAATATGTATATGTATATATATTTGTTTATAGATGTGTGTGCGGTTGGTATTCGTAATGGGCATTAGATGGCTGAAATGTGTTATGTATTTGAAATACATTCACGAGTTGTACATTGAATAGCATACACATGTATATAAATATATATACATATATATATATAGATCTGTAGTGAGTGATACATATATGAATAATGTGATTTCTCTTGAAGAGCAGACTTCTTAAATGCCTAAAAGTAAATTAAATTTGACAGAATAATTACGACTATTATTGTTAAATTTGTAGATTCACATACCATAGGCAGGTGTTGAAATATCGTTAGGCCCGGAGCTCATGTGGTTGGTCTGGGGAGTGCCAAAGTTGTATCTGCCTGTTGGTTTGAAGACCTTATAGTCCTTGGCCAGCCATTTCTTCTCAACATCGACAGCAGTTGGAGTCTCATTAGCATTGGCATCGCCAGCCGGTGTCTGCTTCTTGGTAGCCTCTTCAGCTTGAACGGACTTGTACTCATTCTTCGGACGTTCAGCTGGCAGCGTCTGAGCCGGAATGGGCTTCTGGGCACCTTTCGGTTGCCATGCGATTGAGCTGTAACTGTTTCGGGACCACTCCGAGTTAGCGTACGGCGGAGTGCCGTAGGCCCACCCGCCCTGAGAGTAGCCGTGCAACTGTTGTTGATGGTGCGGATAGTTGACGGGTGGCGGAACTGTAGGTGCCACATATGAGGCCCAGCCGTTAAAGAAGGCAGACGGCGGCAATGACGTTTGTGCCTGATACTGATTATAATTTGGATTATAGACAAAGTTGTCCATGGTGGTTGGCTGCGGTGGCGCATAGCCGGCGCAAGCAGCTCCTCCAATTGGCAAACGAACGCGTTTGCTGCAATCTAGCATCTGGGTGGATTTCTTTACCTCCACAGTGGCCATCTTAATCGAGTGCTTGCTTTGACCTGTGAAAAAAATTATGACCTTACAAAAAAAAAAAAAAAAAAAACTTATATTAATGCTAGCTTACCCAGGGCACGAGCAGCACCAGCTGTATCCTCAAACTCTAAGAATCCAAAGCCACGCTTGCGTCCGGTCTCCTTGTCCAACAGCACCTTAACGCTGTTAATAGCACCGAATTGAGAAAAATATTCTCGCAAAGTACTCTCATCGTGGCAGTCCTTGAGGCCACCGAGAAATATCTTGTTCGTCTTGATATTGCTCAAATGGCCAATGGCCTTGTTGAACTCATGACGTGGAAAAGCACGTTTGGTGTCGACAGTTCTAGAGTATTGTGCATGTATGTATATATATATATATGTAAAATATAACCTTAAAGCAGGAGACTTACTTGCTGTCAATGATATGAGGACGGGCACGCTGAACATTCTCAACGGCAGCCGGCTCAACATAGGTCACAAAACCAAAGCCGCGAGAGCGATTGGAAATCGGATCACGCATAACCACAGCATCGGACACAACCCCAAATTGACTGAAAAATTGGCGCATCGTATCGGCGGTGGTATTAATGGAGAGACCACCGACAAAAATTTTGCGCAAATGCTCGTTGTTCTCCGATGCATTAACGTTGCTCTGATCCGAATTAGGCATTTCAGTGCCACCGTTACCAGAGGGGCGACCACCGATTTTGCGCTTCTGCAATCGGGCCGAATTTCACATTTGCAAAACTTAATTAATAAGATAATAAGGAATACATACCTCTTGGTAGAAGGGCGCATTTACAACCGAGTTATTCACCATTTTTGGCATGAAAACTAATTTTTGCTGCGGAACAATTAAAGAAAAGCACCAAAACTGAACTGGCTAAAAATTAAATGACAACGACAGAGCCGGAAAAGTTTTAAACGTCAAACAAGTGTTGCCGTATCTGAAATTTATCTACGATTGTAACTCCTTTCATGCAACCAGCTGGCAACCCTATTCAACTGCAAGGACTCATGGGGAAGATGACGTGTGCCTATCGAAGTAACGGTGGTTGTTCAACGAAGTGGCAACACATTTCTGGCACTGCCAACTTTAACGGAAAATAACAGCTTTTTAACGAACAGCGTTTCGAATGAAAGACCGTAAGATTTCTCTAGCTATCGATAATCGAATAACATTGACATCGTTAAACTGTTTAGCCATGTCGCCCGGAAGAGAAATTCAACTTTTACACAACTTCAAAATGCCCATTATCTCAACACAGAAAAACGTACTTTCTTTTGGTAAATAAATTTTATTTCAATTAAAATCGTTCAATATGACACAATCGAGATGGTTATTTACCTGAACTTACCTTTTAACTGAAGCTAGCGCCTCAGTTCAGTTCACAGCCAACCAAAATCCGAGGTGAGCCCAAGCTCCTTGGGAACCAGCAGATTGCCCGCATTGCAGAATATCCAGCATTTTGGGCAGTCTTGCAAAGAAATACGTATTGCATTAGTAAGCTGTTGCCAATTTGTTGTTGTTTAGGTATAAACTTTACGCGAAGTGCGGTAATTGCTATTATCTACACAAGCGCTTTTCTTCTTCTTCTTTTTTTTAAGGTTTCTCAATTAGATGTTTGCCTACCTTAGTGCAAAACTTACTAATAATTTTTGATTACTCTTTGCGAGAGCTATTCATTCCTCTTGCAGCGGGTTGGAGGGGGGTTTCTTCCTTTTCTTTTCTTTGTAGTCACAATTCGTGGGTGGGTAACATTAATTTTATTATCTCTTGATTTTGTTTTAACCTCGTAACGTACTAGATACAGAATAAATTTTTGCTTTTGGTTCTTTTGTACCAAGTATTAATTAGTGTAGCAGCTATATACGTCTTATGCACTAACAAGAATTGGTATGTAATGATTAATGGATATTTAAATTCTGCATTCTGCAAGTAACAAAATGATGTAATTCATATGTACAATCATTTTCGCATCTCCTTAGGGGGCTTAACAGGTTTTTGTTACGTTCACTGTTCTCTTTTTTCTCAAATAATATTAAATCAAATATATATATAGAAGGGCTTAACATATAAAAATTTATTACAAAATAGTTTTCTTTCTATATATTTGTTTAATTAAAAAATGTTTCTTGATTTGCTATAAAATTAAATTGTGGAAAGTACGAGACAATTGCATCTAAATCGAATATTCAAGGTACAATACCATTGATTTTCATTTTGATATAGGTATGTATATATATATAACACTGCTGGCCAGCAAAATCGGGCAACTTTATCCGCATGCAGAATGGATTCTCAAACAGAATTGTTGAATAAGATGCGTTTTTAAATAGTCAATTTTATAAATAAAATTATATAGTTTTAGTATATTTTTCGGACAGGTTTTTGTTTTCCTTTTTTTTTATGTGGATTTTTGTTGTGTAGTGTGGTTAATTTAGTTAAAACTAAGCGTTCATCAAGGTTCTTAAAATCCTAAACAAGAATTGATCATAAAAATTAAATGTATGTTTAGCTAGAGAGACAGGACATTAGCAATAAATTGTTGGTATTGTTGATTGAAGTGAGGTGCTCAGGTGTTCATATTATATCAAACATAATTATTTGCGTTTGATTTAATTTTCTTTTTCTTGCTTTTTATCGGGTTAGTTGCTTAGGCTGGTCTTGATGGCGATCAATGTCGATTGCCTGAGATCTGCATAGCTGCTGATTACTCGCTTTTACTCATTATCATTATCTTCTCTGCCTGCCTTGCCTTTCCCAAATTTCACTGTCTCTCACTGTCATTGAATGCCTGCCTCTGCCTGTCTCACTGCCTGTGCCTAGACTGCCTTTTTGTCTAGCTTGAACTGATTCTGTAAGTGTTTACCTATTTGCGAGAAAGGAGAAAATTTGCATTAGCGCATTAAAAACATGTTTTTGATTATCACAATTACTTCGATTCTTGTTTGCAACTACATTATTATTATTTTTTCGCTCGAACGCTTTAAAATGCAATCATACATATTTATACGTTTATATAAATAGAAGAGAATTTGATATGGAATTAATCGTATTTACCTTGATTAGTAACGTCTGTTTCCACCTATATTTCCGCCTTGAGTAGTGTTGTAATTGTTGCCACCGCCAAAACCACCCTGGCCACCACCGCCGCCTTGGCCACCACCTGAAAAACATTTAATTAGTCTAACTTTTCAAAAATATCAGTAATCCGTTGACTCACTCTTGTTGAAGCCACCTTGGTTGTAAGGCGCTGGGCGATTGTTGCCAAAGTTACTGTTACGCTGTGGGCCACCACCGTAGCTCTGTTGGTAATCGTTGCTGAAGCTGCCACCAGCATTGCCGCCGCCCCAGTTGCCGTTACTGTTGCCACCGCCGCCGCTGTAGCCACCGCCACCGCCATTGTTCCAGCCACCTCCGCCGCCGCTATTACCGCCCTGGTTATTCCAGGGACCACTCTGTTGGTTCCAGCCGCCAGAGCCGCCTTGGTTGCCTCCAAAGTTGCCATTATTACCAAAGCCTCCGCCGCCGGAGCCCCAATTACCATTTTGACGATTGTTACCCCAGCCGCCGCCTTGGCCGCCGCGATCACCACCTCGTCCGCCGGCACGTCCACCGGGGCCACCACGACCGCCACCGCCGCCGCCACCACCACCTTGACGATCCATATCCTGTTTAGCAATGGCTTTCTTCACATCAAGCGTTTTGTTCTTGATGGTGTGCGTCTTCTGCAAGATAATTTTGTCCACGGGGTCGTAGTCATCGAACTCAATAAACGCAAAACCGCGCTTTTTGCCCGTATCTTTATCGGACACAATATTCACGCCCACAATTTGTCCAAACTCCTTGAAATACTCGCGCAAGCATTCCTCGTCATGATCGTCACGCAGACCGCCCACAAACAATTTTTTAACCGTGGCGCCGGCATTGGGTGCATCAATTTCCTGCCGTGGCACAGCACGCTTTGGCTCCACAGTGCGTCCATCGATTTTATGAGGACGTGCATTCTGCGCATTGTCAATCATATATGACTGTGAGTAAGTAATGAAGCCGAAACCGCGAGAGCGTTTTGTTTTGGGATCCTTCATGACCACGACATCGACGATATTGCCCCACTTCTCAAAATGCGCTTTAAGGCCCTCATCGGTGGTTCGGTAGTCCAAACCGCCAATGAACAATTTGCGGAGCTGCTCGGGTTCAGAAATTTGCTGCAGAAAAGTAAACAACAACAAGGTACAGTTAGTCACAAGTGAAATCAATAAAAAATGCCGCCCGCCATTTTTTTTCCATATTTTCATTGACTCATTTAACAATAATGCTAAAACAGTAAGGCAACCGGAAACATTTTAGTTTCTTTTTTTTTTATTTGACCTTCACTATTTCGTAAATAGAGAATATTACGTTGTAAATGCACATACTCAGCAAAATTAGAAATGCGATTTTCATATTTCTTCAATGTGTCGGCATCGGCATTTTTTGCATGCGAATTTATAACAAACTTTACGCTCACCTCATCATTGTCGTCATAGTTTCCATTCGAATCGTTTATATCAGCCATTTCACTTGTTATTTTTTAGTTTATTAATTGTTCAACGATTTTCTTCGGAAAAAATATTTATTTTTTTTTTTAAGCAGACGCCCAGTTCACTTACACGTACAACAAGAGAAAAAGTTAGTACCTGAGTGCTGAAAAATGAGCTGGAAAAATGGCGACCACGAATCTGACAGCAGATGCCGGCCGAGATGTTCAATTATGCGATAGTCACTGTTATATACCGAAACTGTAACTGTTAAGCGGGATTTTGAATTATGGCTCAATTACTTCACGAAGTGTATGTCATTGTACTGAAACTTATTATTTACTCGTCATCCTTTCATACATCAATAATTATAGAACTATTTATTATCCTATTGTATATTAAATATAGACACGTAACTACACTAGTTGTGTGTAAAAAACTCGTGACAAGTACCTATCGAATTGTTTTATAATATACCAGGGCTGCGCAACGACACATAATGCTGACGCCGCATTGAAGCGGCAGAGTAGTTTTGAGTTCAGTGTCATTTCCGTAGAAATTGCGTTGAGGTTGAGTCTGCATTATTTTCGTCTGACGTGCGGTGCGTAAAAAAAACTAGAAAAAGTGTTTAAATCTAGAAAAGAATATTAACAATAAATACTTGTTAATAAACGGTACGTGAATAAGTTGTGTATTATAATAATTAAGAAAAAGTGGTAACGAAGCAGTTATAAATATTTTTTTTTTCGCTGAAAAGTTCTGTACCCGGTGGACAACGTTGACATCGGCGCCGCCATCTTGGCAAATACACACATACTATACATGAATTTCACTCACCCACCCAGCCATGCATACATGTTTAAAAATATTAAAATTGCCGAAAAAAAAAAAAAAAACAGTTCTTAACCTCCTGATAATTTACAGCATAATCAGCAACAAATATGGTTGGATCACGCGTTTATGTTGGCGGACTGCCCTACGGAGTCCGCGAACGCGACTTAGAGCGCTTTTTCAAAGGCTATGGACGCACTCGTGATATACTTATCAAGAACGGCTATGGCTTCGTGGTAAGTAGTCAAAACAAAGAGGGAAAATAGTAGAGCGACCAAAAATTGATAAATCGATAATTAATTTAATTTGCAGGAATTTGAGGACTATCGTGATGCAGACGATGCCGTGTACGAATTAAACGGGAAAGAACTGCTAGGGGAACGGTAAGTTTAATTAATACGACAATTATGCTTAATATAGAAAATAATTATATGTATATATATCTTTCCGAAATATTATAGTGTTGTTGTTGAGCCAGCTAGAGGCACAGCGCGTGGCAGTAATCGGGATCGTTACGATGATCGCTACGGCGGGCGCCGCGGTGGAGGCGGCAGATATAATGATAAGTAAGTACAGCTGCGACCGTTAAGTTTAGATTAGCTATTTTCTGCTTTTCTCATTCGTTCAATGAACGCAAGACTGTGGACCCGTGGCTAAAACTTGACAAATTTCAATTGTGTTTACTTGAAAAGTTTACATAACATGCAATACTCCATTTATATAAATACTTGACGAGTAATTTTCGATCGTTAAGTGCACAAGTAATGTTATCTCATCAGATTATCTGTCAGTTTAGCTACTTTTGGGTCCACAATAATAGTGATAGTCCCACTCATTCTCTAAAGACACTGACATGCTGTTTATATTTATATATATATGTTAATATAACTTTTCGTTTTTGCTAATTATGATATACATATATTAATTTACTTACATTCTGCACGTCTTAATAATTTCATGCATATAATATTTTATTAATTGAATTTTCCGCGGTACGCCCTTTGCGACTGCCTATCCCAGTCCTAATTCTCTTTCGTTTCTTTGAAATGCTTTTGATTTATGCTCTCGCCCTTTGGCTAAGAAGTAGCATCTACAATTTGCACAATATTGTACATATATATAAAAAATGATTTGAGCAGCAGCGCAGTGTCAATACTAATTTTGAATTCATTAAATTATTCACCAGAAACAAAAATTCCAGATCATCCTCTCGTTATGGGCCGCCATTGCGCACTGAGTATCGTTTGATTGTCGAGAATTTATCCAGCCGCGTTAGCTGGCAGGTAAGCTTTCTTAATTTTCATACAAACACACTAAAAACCTATAGCTTAAACTGTAGAGTAGACTGTATTTAGAAGTAACAACTATCTAACTTCTTAAATGATCTGATCGGATGCGTCAGTTTCAAAGAGCTAATCAATCTATCCATAAACTATATGTTTAATATAAGCGAAGCACTTCCCCGTTTCACCTATTTTTTATGATTTTTTTAAAAATCCCTTTATAAGTTGGTGATGCTCCCCAAAACCATTTTGTTTTCTTTCAAGTAGCTTAGTTTACCCTTATCAATTATTGGAGCTGGAAAACTAAGGGATATGGTCTCTAATTTTGAATGAATTATATATTCATTTAACAATTAACATTAACATTGAAGCAAATTAAATAATAATAGTTCATGTCCACATTGAAGGCTTTCCAGCTCCGGTAAATGAGGATTGTCTATTATGTTTAAGCTGTACAGTTGATTTAGCCCTAAGCAAATGTAAAACAATGCAAAATGTTCGTTAACAACTCTGGTACTGATCGTTGCAATCCCAACAATTATTTTTTTCACACCAACCAAAAAATAAAAGAGTTTGATGTGTATCTGTTACTGAACCGCCCCAGAGCTTAGAAGAGAGTGACAAATAATACAGGCATAGAGAATCGGTGCCACAAACCGAGCTGAACACAATATAAAAAAAAAACGAGCTATGACCAAATACTTCGTCGATGTACGATATAATAAGGCATGGCCGGGGGCCGCAACTAGTTACATACATGTGTTATAAATCGGATGAAATGCCACTAAAAATCGAGAGACAGGCAGCAGAACACGCACGCAACGCATATAAAAACTAAATGATTCGACGCCTGACAGCATCCCACGTTATCAGTGTCGGTCGCTTTATGAAAGATCTTCGCTTGGGTCACATAACAAACGATATATTCCCTTTAAAACCATCTCCCAACCAAACACACACTTGGTCATCGCGCTGTCGTCATCGCCTTCGCCGCCGTCGTCGTCGTCGTTGATGCCTCGTCGTCATCCAAGCCAAAGAAAAAAAAAAAACCATAAAACTGATGTGAATTGTTTTGGGCTAACAAGAGGCCAGCCTACGCGCAACGTCAAGAATATGTTATTACCGTACTGCGTAGGCTAGCCTCTTGTACTCTGAGAATTAGGTATTTAAATGAATAAGCATTCACAATTTAATTTAAAAAATTATATAAAGAATTGTCAAATTCCTTATAGCGAATGTGAGAGTTTTGAGGTCGTATGAGAGGGATTGAGAGATGTTAACAAAGTAACTAAACAGTTAGATGCGATGGGATGATGATGACTGATGATGACATGACGATGATGATACTGGCTGAATCTTTAACGCGTTTACTTCATCTTCGGTTAGACAAAGTGCAGCACACACAATGCATCCAATACTAGCGACAACATTTGCCAATTCGGTGTCTGTGTTCTTCCCCCTTACTACTGGCCCGACTTGGCCTGGCTCTGGCTCTGGCTCTGGCTCCAGCTCTGGCTCCGGCTCCGGGTCTGGCTGACTATCGACTAGAGACTCTTGGAGCAGCTATCGCGCCATCGTCGCACATCGACGCCAACGACGTCGTCCAGCCTAGCCTCAGAGGCGATCCCCCAAAACGTATTTCTTATTTTTACAGTTCGCTTATGTGTGAGGCCATAAAAGAGAGACATGAGAGATGCCGCCGCCTGGTTGACTGCCTGGTTGCATATTGTTGTGTACTGTGCGTACTGTGCTGCTTGCTCTACACTGTTGTCACTGCTCGCTCTCTCACCCACAAATCCCGTCTGCGGCCGCGGCAGTGGTGTTGGCTCCCTGGCAACTGTTTCTGACTGTGCGTTCATTTGGGTCCCACGATAACAAAAAAACAAAAGTACAACAAAAAAACCGAATACCACAAACGTAGCACAAAAAAAAAAAACACTATTTTTTTTATAAATGCATTCATTCAAAATAATGTTAAACACCATAAACCATAACGAAATATCAAACGTTTGCCCGACTGACTGGCATGGCTTTGATGCGATTTTCGGGTTGCTGGCCTGGCCTGGTCGCCAACATGATGATCATATGATTTGATGGTATAGATGTGGAGCTCTCGATCTTCTCGCTTACTGCTCCTTTGATGAGGTCGTGCGGTCCAACCAAGGGCCGACAGTAACTAGGCAGACAAACAAAACTCTCGGTGTTGTGCGATAAAAGCGATGTGTGTGTCCTCTCTCTGAAAGCGCATTAAGTAAGAACTCAATTACAACTTATGTTTTAATTTTGATCAAGAAACCAAAAAAAAAAATATCTTTATAAATATATACATATATGTTACATATAATTATGCTTACGTTTCGTACCGCGTGCAGCAGCCAATACAAGCAATGAATATTTCGACCGAACTGGCGAACTGTTGTGCTCGATTCTGACTGAACTCTCTGGCAACGGCGCAACTGGCACTTGCACTTCTACCCCCATAAAACTACCCCCACAAAGTACATTAGGCAGGCGATGCGAGGGCGATCACATCATTCATACCAGTGAGAGAAAGACAGAGACAGAGAGAGTGTGACAGATTGAGAGGCAAAGAGGGCAGAGCTTTGGTTAGGAAGGCCCAGTTCCACATAACTGTTGCGCATATATAGCATTCAGCGATACCAGCTCGGGAATATATTCAAACTGCTTGGTCTGCACGCTGTATTTGATTTGTCTAGATGAGCACAAAACTGTCGATGGCTATATTTTATACTAATTTACAAATTGTTTTTCGTATTTGTGCGCTATCTGCAGGATCTGAAGGATTATATGCGCCAAGCTGGCGAGGTTACCTATGCTGATGCCCATAAGCAGCGTCGCAACGAAGGGTAAGTTGATTATTAAATTTTATATCGAATTCAATTAACTAATATTGAGTTTTTCATTTCATTTCTAGTGTGGTCGAATTCGCCTCGTTGTCGGACATGAAGACCGCCATTGAGAAACTCGATGATACCGAGCTGAATGGTCGTCGTGTGCATTTGGTGGAGGATCGTCGTGGTGGACGCAGCGGTGGTGGCGGCGGTGGCGGTGGTGGTGGCGGCGGCGGTGGTGGACGTGGCCGATCACGTTCGTCTAGCTCGCGTTCACGCTCTCGCTCTCGCAGGCGTTCTCGCTCTCGCCGCTCGTCGCACTCGCGCTCGAAGTCACGCAGTCGCTCCAAGTCTCGCGGTGGACGCTCCAAGTCAAAGTCCCCAGTCAAATCGCGTTCTCGCTCACGTTCGCGCTCCAAGTAAGTTCAATTACTCGTTAGAGCCTTATTTTCATTTGATAACAATCTATTATTTCTTCTGTTGCAGCAAATCTCGTGATGTGTCCAAGTCAAAGTCAAAGTCTCGCTCTCGCACTCGCTCCCGCTCGCCCAAGCGCGACTCACACTCACGCTCACGCTCTAACTCTAAGCGTGAGTCACGTTCCCGTTCACGTTCAAAGTCGAATCGCCGTGATTCGCGTTCTCGGTAAGTAGCTTTAAATGTTTGTGAGTTTTATGTGATATATTTTTTCTTTTTGTGCTTTCTTTGATTTTGTTTGGGATGCGCAGACCGTGTTTGGTGGCCCCAAATATTTAATATATATATTAAAATGTTTTTCAACAACTTTTTTTTTTGCAGTGATCGTTCCGCATCGCCCGATAATAAGTCGCGTTCTCGTTCTCGTTCACGTTCAGCATCGCCGAAGAATGGAAACGCTTCACCGGATCGCAACACCGAAAGCATGGATGATTAGATTAGTTAGCTGTCCCATTAATTATAAAAATATTGATTTTAGTTTTCGACTATTTACTATAGAAAAACAAATACAGACACCCCCATCCACCAAAAACACTTGAAAACAAAGGAAACACTCAAACAAACAAAATAAGCAAAAACATTGCGAACATCTTTTATCCACTACCAAACATCGTAAACATTTTTTTAATATTTAAAAATTATGTTTTAAGTAAACATTCGACAGACATGGCTAGCCCCAAAATCAACACGATTGTAACACACAGCAAAGGACAGGGACAATGGACAGTCGGTCGAACAATTTTCCATTGATTAATTTTTGTGCAAAGGCATCAGAAATTCTTGCCTAACAAATTGTTTAAACCAAATTATAACACGTTTGTCTTTACAAATATATTTCAATAAAAGCCGAATGGATTACTTATATACAAACTGAACATGTGAACTTGTATTTTCGTCTGGGTCTTGGGTGTAGATCAAAAAGAATTCTTTATGAAATATATGTTTATATAAATTTTGGTATTTATTTTTGAATTTGAATATACTTTTTGGAATGTATATTACAAAGTCTTTTGATTTGAATTGTTTCGCTTTATTTTTAATGAATTAAAATTACAATTTGTTTTATTTGTTTCATTTAGAATTGAGTAGCTAAATTTCTTATTTGTGAAATTGTTTAAACATATACGATACGATAACTACTAAAAATTTGAAATAAATTGTATATTAAAAAGTCGTATTTTATAATATTCATTTTTGTTTTTGTTTTTTACCCTTTTGATAATACAGAATTAAGTACATAACTATTTTAGAACTTCAGTAGCTTTTTTTTGTGTTTAAAGAATATCGGTAATTACGTTGACTAAAATATTTACAAAGCACATAAGGAATTGTTCTGGAAATTATGTTTTTTCAAAAAATGGAAGAATCGAATTTGCTTAAAATTGTAGCTGGGATTTATCTATTCTAAGTGTGAACAAAATGGAAACGTTTGAGGGAGTTGAGGATCTGCCTAATTTACGGGACTACGATGTGCACAGTGGGCGTGGCATCCACATGTACGCCTTTCTGTTTAAATCTATATGTTTGGCACTCTTTGGAGACAATTGAGCACTTGGCTTTCATTTGACCTTGGCGTTGTTTATTATTTACTTGTTATGCGACTACTAACTATAGTATGTATATTTAGATGTAGCATTATTAAACTAATATACCGCTCATTATAATTAATAATCATAAGAAATATAATAATATATATACGAATAAAATGGGCTATCTTCTAATCAAAATTATTAAGCAATGTAATTTCACTTGTATATATATAATAAATATTTACAGAATTGAAATTTGACACGGCTCTGAAAACTATTTGGAGGTCTCTATATATGGGTATTTAAGTGCAGCCTAGTCTGGTGAATCTCACTATATATTTCGATATTTTGACAAAGAGAAAGAGAGCGATTGAGAGTGTGAGTGTGTGGGTGTGAGATAGCCGGAGTTATTGATCAATCGGAGTTTTGTCTATCGCTCGGAAATGGCAGTGGTTAAGATCAATTTTCTAGTGCCCTAAGTCAATAATATACACATAAGATATAGCTAGCTCTCTAATGCTTATCAGCTATATGTATGTATATCTATTTATGTGTATGTGTGTGTGTATACATAGATGGTATTTATGCACTAATTTACATTGTAAATGCACATAAATTTTAATTTCGCAAACGCACAAGATTTTTGCACATTTCAATTTAGCATTTGTTTTTGTTTTCTTTTTTCAATTTGTTATATTCACTACGCTTCAGTTTCAAATTCCATTAGGTTTAAGTACAATGTATCAGAGAAAGTTTATCACTTTAATTATATTTAAGTCGTTTTTTTTTTTAGGTTTTTGCTTGCGGGGCACAATTGGAGGGCGGGACGAGAGGGCGTGGCCACATTCGTTGCTCCAAACTTAGTTATCTAAATGCGAAACGATAAAAGTGATACATTGCGCTTGAGCAATTTGTGCGGCGGCTTGTGCGGCGAACGATTCTCGGTATCATCGACCACATCCAGACCAATGCCCATGCCCATGCCCATGCCGAGGTGGCTGCCAGTCATGATGCCGCTGCCATTGAGGGCGCCAATTGTGTGCATGCTCTGCGTATCATAGTTCAGATCCTGCATGGGCACCACCTCCGGCAACAGGTGTCGTATGTGCGTGGGCGAACGACGCAGCTTGTACTGATGCCTGTTGAAATAGCAAGAGTAAATGCATAATATTATTAACTAATGTAGACAAGTGATAATAATAATGGATTAATCATATCACTTAAGACTTTAAACATGCAGATTACATAAATAAATAAATAAAACTTCTGCTTACTCTGCAACGTTTGCGCTGGTCGCGTTTTTATGCCTGTTGCCAGCAGAGTCAGAATTTAATCAGGTTTAAAAAACATTGAGACATCAAACAAAGCCAAAGAGAGTTACACGGCATCAACATAAAATGCAAAGCCACAGCAGATAAAGAATATTCATGAAATGCATTACAATATTAAAACATACATATTTATATATATTTATAAATATTTAAACTTTGTCGTGTATGTGTTGATTTTCACCAATCAATACATTTTCTTAGCACACGAGATGTGAGCAGGAAATTGTCTGTATGTATGTATATGTATTTATCTATGTATATGCTTATGGGTGCCGCCCTCGAGTCGGAGACGGAAAGCGACACCCCACAGTAATGGATTGCTGTAGATATACAGACAAGAGCCTGCTCACATTTCGTGTACATTTTTTATAATCATCAAATACAAAGATAAAAAAATAATAAATATATAGGTATTGAAACAGTTTTATATACAATTATCAGTAATAAAAAGAGTAACATTTATACAGATAAAAAATTAAAGAGTAAAATTTGTAAGGACTGTCAGAAAAACCAAATGACTTTTTCCAGGCATATTTATTTATTATATCTGGCTTATTTATATAAAAATTCTAGCCTTGCTGATATGAGAGGAAGTATGCTAAATTTAAAATATATGTATGTACTTAAATACATACATATATGATTAACCCCTTAAGCTATAAATTCTATTCCCAAGTCTGAGTCTCTATGTCAAATGCCCCGCCTTGTTCGTTCACAGGCTCTTCTCTTGCATAAGTATTCTGAGCTCGTAAAGATGGAAGCGGAAACGGAAGCGGAAGTCGTACAATCACACACAGATAGAGGCACACACACACACAAGCAACACCACCCCCACTCTGTCTAGAGGATGCTAATTGGTCTATGTCTGGGCCCTTTCAGCTTACATCAGACTTAAATCTTATATCCCGTTTTACATACTTTTTATGTCGATTGCCATTGAGGCAGATGCAGCGGCAAGAGCACATCGAGGATGTATTCGTGCCGTTCAGAGATTGGCCATCGTGTCCCTCGTAGCCGCTCAATATGGAACCGTTGGATGTTATCACATCGCCCTCCAGTTTGACAGCCACTTGAAGTGCCTGTAATATCACATCGCGTGCAATTAGTAGATATTTAGATTTAGATATAGCTAAGATATAGATTGAAGCGCAGTTTGTTGTGAATGGAAAGTGTGTTGTTGTTGTCTGCAGGCTGTTATTGTTGTTGTTGTAATTGTAATTGTTGTTGTTGACATGAAAAATGTTTTTGTACAGTGTCGAGCGTACTGAATTGATAGTAGTAGAAGTTGTAATAGTTGGAGTATTTGTTTAGTCAGAGTAGTAAGTAGTAGATATATTTTTAATTTAGCTCAAAGAACCACCAGCAATCACCTCATTGGTCCATAAAGTGGACTTGGTCATAAACTAAGCGCGCGCGCGTTTTGCATTTGTTTCATATTTCGTTAAGTCAAAAGCAACCGAAAATATGCCAAAAAAGATACAGAAACAAACATATTTATATAAATATATATATGTATATATATATTCGATGGTCGATTAAGAGATTTCTTTGTAATAAATTGATTTAAAAAAATTAAGGAATTCAAATACAATTCTTACAAATAGTAAAAGAACAAAATCGAGAATTGTGCACGAATAAATTTTTAAAAATTGACAAATTGTGCTTTATAAAATTGGCAAGCATTTAGTTAAATTTCAATAAAAATATTTGATTTTTGTTTGTTACGAAATGAGTGAAAAAATGTTGGTAAACGCATTTGAAAGATTTGTAAAGGGGAATTAGATATACTCTGCAGTTAGAGGTCAGAAAGATATACGAAGTTAAGTATTATTTAGGGCGCAGTGAGACTAATAGATATAAGTTTAAGATTAGAAAAGCTTTTTACTACCAACTGCTCAACTTGATAAATGTAATTGTATTATTACTCTTTTTTTTTATAAAAAAACAGTCCGCAAGTCTACATAAGAAATAGGAATGGCATGGACAATATTGATGAAAAGAAATGGGCATCAATTGAGGCTCACCTGCATGGCCTGGGCCTCGTCGCGTCGCTCATCCTCGGTATTCATTGTAACAAACCTTAGTACTAACAGATTCAGTGAGGCGGCAACAATTGCCAGGCCGAATAGTATAAATATCAGTGCGAACATAACATATTCGGGTTTTCGATTTAGTGCATTGTCCTTCTGCAAAGCTACCATATCGCCGAAGCCTACAAAAAATAACATTTACATATGTAAAATATATAAATAAATTAAAATTATTCTATAGAAATATGTTGAGTAAACTGAATTCCAATAATTACGTATTTGAAAACTATTCTCTAGCATAACTTACGTATCCTTCGAGACAATAACTATTCTCACCTATTGTGGTTAAAGTAATAAAACAGTAATATACTGAATCAAAGTAGCTCCAGCCCTCAAATCTTGAAAAGGCCGCAGCACCACCCGCAATCGTCAGTGAACTGAGCGTCGTGACAACGCATATAAGGTCCACCTCTGAGGCAACCGTTCGTTTGCAGCGCAGCGATGTTCGCACCGCCTGGATGACGAAACTGAAATGGAATGCAAATTATAGAATATACTTTAAGCATATTTATAATATAAATATATGTTTTTTTATTTTTTGTACCTGCTCAGTCTATTCACTCTTTCTCCGATACTCTGAAACATAACGAGACCCAAGGGTATGCCAACAATTGCGTAGCACATGGTAAACAGCTTCCCGCCACGGGTCGTTGGCGTAGAGTGTCCATAGCCTGGAAATTTGTAAAGAATTTAAATATTAAATACATTTGAGAAAATGCTTATATTTGCTATATAGTGTATATGAATACATATATTATATACTGACACTGGAGCCCGAATACTCCATGCTTTAATTTATAGTTCAATAATCTTATAAAATAAGCAACAAAATTAAAAATATATTTGGGAAGTAAATTTTTGCTGGGTTAATTAATATATGATAATATGGAAAAATAAATAATATCCTAAGAAGTTTTAAAAGTGAGTTTTTTTTTTTGTTTTAATTTTTGTTATAAATAAAATAAAATAAATAAATATATATTTTTTCAAATAGATAAAAATAAAATAAATAAATCAAAGCACAAATTTATTTAGAAATTCTTTCAGCAGCTAGTTTTCATCAAATTATCAAATTAAGATAGGAAAATAATAAAATTATAATTTATGTAAACATAATATAATTATAATTTAAGTAAGTTTAATCAGCTGATTTACCAATTGTTGTTAACACTGTCGTTGCATAATAGAATGCGCCAGTGAACTTCCATTGCTGGCCAGCCTTGTGTGGCTCTGATTTGAGCACCACCGTCTCCATGACCTTAAAATCCTCCTGTGATATATTGTATTTGCGTATTATGCGATCCTCGACACCTGCCGTAATGCAATCACAATAATGTATTATATATAGTTGTATAATTTATAGATTAAATAATGCTCACTTTGCAACGCCTCCCAGCGTCGTTTTTCCGTCTCCGATTCGAGGGCATCAAAGACGGCGGCACCCACGAGTAGATAGGTAAATGTACACACGATCAGGGATATCGTGCGCACATTTTGTTTCTTCATGCTTCATTTAGGCGAGGTTATTGGCTATGAACATGCATTTCATTCACAATAGACAGTCGTTGTGCCCTCCTCGCTTCAGCTCCTGGCTGCTGGCGGCGTCTTCTCTTGCGGTTGTACGGTTTATTGCTATTGTGACTAATCCAGCCGCTGTCATCCATATGTGTATGTGTGTGTGCCTCTGCCTGTCAGTGGGTTGGTCGTTTACGTAGAAAGGACGAAACTTTTGTAAATCAGGTTAAGCGCAGTAACTAACATACGAACACACAAACAGCAGCACTTGAAACTCGACACCTTGGCCGCCTGCCCTGTGTCTGCCTCTCCCTCTCTCTCTCTCTCTCGTCCACACACACACGCAGCCTTAGGCACTGCCTAATCAAAGTCTTGGCCGTCGTGTGTGTGTGTGTGTGTGCGAGTGTGTGTGCTTGGCGTAGTTTAGCTTGAGCTTTTACGTTTTTTGCTGCCTACTTTTTGGCGCACGGGGCAATTATCTGAAAAATTCACTTAGCTGTCACTTGCTCTTGCACTTCACGTGCAATTGCATTAAATATTATATATGTATATCTATATAGGTGGCGGTGTGTGTGTGTGCGTATATGTGTGTGCCACATATACAACTATAAGTATTTTAATTTTAGCACCACTTGCGTATGCAGATGTGCATGGCTGCATTTATTTTTGTCACACATGCAGCTGATGTCGCCTTTGTCCTCGCGTTCGTTGCGCCCATCCATGTCCTTGTGTTATTTATAACACCGATGCTGTTGCTGCTGCTGCTGTTGAAATTGTAGCTGCATCATTATTTACACAATGCTCGTTTGCTCAATCAGTTGTTAGCGGCAGGCCAGGCGCCGTAACCTGTCGTTACACTCCTGTAAATACGTTTCCTGCTGCTCCTGCTGCTGCTGCTGCTGTTGCTGTGGACGGCTAATGCAATAGTTGTGCTGCTGTTGTTGTTGTTGCTGCTGTTGTGCACACGCATAGCTGCATTTCGTTGTTGCACATGTCCTTCGGCTCCAGTTACGTTGCAGTTGAGGTACCTGTGATTGGCATAGGATTTAAAATGATGGCATAAATTAGATTTCATGGCGCGCTCTGGCTAAAAATAGCTGTCAAGCAAGCTGACAACAGCTTTTGGCCACATCCTGGCCATTTGCGGGCGGCTAATGAGGCAAATTGCCTAATCTGTCATCGTCAAAAATGAGACGAATGAAAGCAAGAAGCACAGCGGCCAACTGTACAAACAGCACAAAACATGACACAATTCAATACATACACTAGCACAGACCAACACACACACACATGTCTATATAAACTGTGTATGTGTATTAAATTGGCTACATCATGAATTATTTAGCTGTATGCGCAGATAAGCGCCAAGATTTTCGCCACCTAAACGAATGGCAAATCGTGTAAAACTGTAAGCCATTTTGCAGATTTGGCGGTAACGGTAGTTGCTAAATTATTAAAAATAAAAACAGATGAATAAAAATTACAAATGGTGTGCCAAAGCTTAACCAAATAATGAGATGAAAGCAAAGCAAAGCAAAGCAAAAAAAGCTCAGCTGTGTTTGCTTGTGTGTGTGTGAGTGTGTTGGCAAGCAAAGAAATTTAAAGGTTTGCCTTATTGTTATGAAAGGCAGCGTATGTTTTGCTTTTGGCCTGCTTTACAATTTGGCTAACAAGTAGGCAGCATTGCAGTGCCATTCAATTATTCATGCCACAGTATTTGTATATGAATTTAAGTGTGTGTGTGTGTGTGTGTGTGTGCTGTGCGTCTGGCTGCCTCACTTTCCATGTGTGTATGCATGTGTGTGTGTGTGTGTGAGTGTATGTGCGCGCGTTGAAGCGTACACACATAGTCACACAGCCGCATGCTTCGTTTTTTTTTTTTTTATAATTTATTGAGCCAAGCTACTATGTGAGGGTGGTTGAACATCATTGTGGATGCCACAACACACACAAATGTGGCATGCTATCGAAATTGCTGCTGCAGTAGCAGCATCAGCCTTGTTAGCTGGGACGCCAGCATCACCGCCCTCAGTTAACTTTTTGCTAGTTTTCCTATTCTATTGCTCATTATTTGTTGCGCCACCCGCAAGCGTATAATCGCGCAGCCTCCGGAGGCCAGGGGCTCGTACTACTATTATTTGTGTCTGTCGTTGACATTTGCTGTGCAATGGCAATGACAGTGACACTATCAGGAATCCTCTGGCCGTCTGACTGACAGACCGACTGACTCGTCCTTCGTGCCGTACAGCAACACAGCTTCGCGAAAAAAAATATAATTCAAGCATCAAAAGGAGGAAAAAACTTGTATTCATTATATAAAGCTGAAAGCACATACACAATAATCCGAATTTATGTCCCCGAACTTGTTGTTGTAATTAGTAATTTGTGCACATCCTTCAATTAGCTTTTGGGTTTTTGTTTTTGTATTTGATATATGTATATATATATATTAATTACACACACTGAAATTTTCACTACAATAAATTCATCTCAATTTGTCGTCAATTGGCTCAACATTTTCTACCGTCCGCCATGCACGCAATGGCGATTGTATTTCTCAACTGGCAGCGCGCACGGCGCACAATTTGACAGACAGAGGCTGCTGGATCCTTCAGCGGGCATTAGGGTTGAGCATCCTATAAGCGATGCGGAGTAGGCAGGCGCAAGCTAGCGCTGCCAACTTGCAAAAGCTCTGCGCTAAAGAGCGCGCATTTGAATTTAAGCTCTCGCTGAGCTTTTAAAACTTCATTTCATTACTTACATGCAGAAATCGCTAGATATTTAAAAAATCAATGTTAAGATATAATTTTTTAATAATAAATGAACTTAATCTTTTATTCTGTTCTAAAAATATACATTTATTGCTCAGTCACTCCATATTTTCATGAACACTGCTGTTTATATATATATCGCTAGCTATTTTTAACTTTCATTTCTGTTCCATTTGACCCCCTGACCGCGTCGCCTCTTACATATATTGGTGTCATTGCTTGGCACACTTGGCCAGCAGCCGTTGCCGTTTGACATTACGTTGCTTTGAAGCCAAATTTGAAATGACAAATTGATTTCATTTTTTCAGGTCAAAAATGCAACTTTAATTGCTTGCAAGCCTTCGAATTACATATCCTAATTGCTTAAATGCACTAAATAAATTATTATTAATGCTAATGTTCCATTGGCTCTTCGGGCGGCAGCACAATGTTGCATCCCAGCAGGCCGCGGCCGACCCAAGTCTTTGGCACTAGCACCAAGTCGAGGAATTGGTCTGCTCGCTTTATCTTCAATTGGACATTTTGATTTTGCATATTGCGCACAACTTCACCGATTTGTTCAAGGCTTTTCTTAAAGTTAGTTTCGTTGATTGAACCAAAACGCAAAATCTTGTCGCCTACGCGCAAACCCTGTAGAATAGAAAACAAACACTTAGATGATAAAGACGAGCTACATATATATGCATTTTATACTAACCGCTTCCTCGGCTGGTGAATTGGGGCTGACTAGATTAACTACAACTAATGGTTTAGAATTTAGTGGGATTGCAAGTGATCCTCCGTGTTCCCGCTCATTGCTTAATTCTAAGGCAGAGGCACGATTGATCAGCTCGGGATCTGTGGTGGCGATCTCGGCATGATATTGATTGAGCAGTTCATGTATTTGGTCCAACAGTTGAGCATGATCATTTTGCAAACAGATAATCGTCTGACGTGCTTGTCGAACCTGATAAATGTCAATGTCGTTGCGAGGGTATCCCTCACTATCAACAAGTGGGCCGGTCATGCCGACATTGCCGTTCTGAAAGAATTGGGTATTAGTACATAAGCTAATGGTTACATATGTATGTAGGTATACAATGCAATTAGATAAGGTCTAACATGATTTTGTGTCACAGTTCCGACGTCACACAACTGTGCGCTACCTCAACCTTAGTATCCTTGCCTACATACTTATATCGAAGTATTTACCGCGGCCAGTATTTCTCCATTTTTATTGATTTGTGCCTCCAGTTCCTTTTTAGCAGCTATTAGTCTTTCCAATCGCGCTTTAGTTGTAATTTCCGTTGCCATGACTTGCACTTATCTCTGAAAGGATATATTTTTAAGTGATAAAACAAAAACAAATGTTTTTTGGTCGCCCTGCCGATAGATTGTCAGTGATGTGTTGACAAGCTCTGCCTATCGTATGTTTCAGAAACTCGAACACGATACATAGTGTACTTCCCTTTTTTCAAATGTATTTCAAAATTTCGTTGCAACTTTTTCGGCATTCTTTTTAAATATTTGTTCTAGCTTTTAAATTTTTAGTTTTATTTTGGTTTTAGGGCTTTTTATTTATTCATTCGAGAAATATTGTTTTCTGATACTTTCTTTCAAACAGCTGATTTGTATTATCGATTATTAAAAAGGTGGGAATATAAATAGTCAATATCGTAATTATCGATATTATATCAACAATTGACATACACATACATACCTAAATACAACATATTCCCAGTCTAAAGTAAACACTGAAATTTGTAGCATTAAAGCAAGATCAGCCGAAAACCAATCAGCTAGTAAGCGTTGCGACAATCTTCGTATACAACGAACCGAATGTTCGATCACCGTTAGTCCCCTCATTGAAATGTGAACTGTGCGTTGTGGGCAGTTCGAAGGTTTATGCAATGTTCTAGTTTGGCCCACGAGCACATACAGGAGAGCGAAGAGACGGCAACGGAGCAATAGAGCGCCGTTTATACGTTCATATAATAGCTGTACACAAATAGTGTGTTGAGCTGTTGAGCGCAGCGCATCCAAATGACTGTGACTGTGACCAGTACACATGTAATGGACGCCCAAGCAAAATCAACACATCTACAATCTGGCGGAGGCGGTGAACAGCAGCATGGCTCCACTAAGTCGCTCGATGTGGCTGCCCGGGATGATGAGATGACCGTATTGTTAACAAATAAAAATTATCATTTTGATGCTACGTCCGATATCGAAGATGCTTTCGTGGAGCTCAATGGCAGCGACAAGGATATGGAGCTGGATGCCGCCGTTGCACCACCGGTTAGTGGCAATCATCAGACAGAGCATCCGCAAGTCACCTGGCTGGACGACGATGCAATTGATGCATTGGATCGTGTCACGCTCGACATTGGCAACATGTTCTTCAATCGCGTCGACAGTCAGGACATAATATATCAACAGAAAAAGAAGAACATTAAAATGGTGGGAAAATACGTGATGGGCGATGTGCTAGGCGAGGGCTCATACGGTAAAGTGAAGGAGGCCATGAACTCAGAGAACCTTACGCGTCTCGCCGTTAAGATACTCACCAAGCGGAAGCTGCGTCGCATCCCCAATGGCGAACAGAATGTGACGCGGGAAATTCATTTGCTGAAGCAACTGAAACACCATAATGTGGTGCAATTGGTCGACGTGATGTACAATGAGGAGAAGCAAAAGATGTATTTGGTCATGGAGTATTGCATTGGAGGCTTGCAGGAGATGCTGGACCATGCGCCCGAAAAGAAAATGCCACTCTATCAGGCACATGGCTATTTTAAGCAGTTGGTCAATGGGCTTGAGTATCTGCACAGCTGCCGAGTCATACACAAAGATATCAAGCCGGGCAATCTGCTATTGACCCTGGACCAAACACTCAAGGTATCTGATTTTGGCGTCGCCGAGCAACTGGACATGTTTGCACCCGACGACACCTGTACAACCGGTCAGGGATCACCGGCGTTTCAACCGCCAGAAATTGCCAATGGCCACGAGACATTTGCAGGCTTCAAAGTGGACATATGGAGCAGTGGAGTCACTCTGTACGCAATTACCTCGAATTGATACGAGCAAATCTAATCTAAATTTCGTTTTAGCTATAATCTGGTAACGGGTCTCTATCCTTTTGAGGGCGACAATATATATCGTTTGTTGGAGAACATTGGACGCAGTCAGTGGATAGCACCCGACTGGCTATATGAGTTGGATGAAAGCTTTGCGAAATTAATATTGGGCATGCTGCAAGCAGATCCCAGTGCGCGGCTTTCATTGCAACAAATACGCAAAGATGAGTAAGTGTTGTAGAGTGTTAGCTAATGATTTGAATTTTAACTGTTATTTTATCGTTGCAGTTGGTTCCTGTCCGCACCAGTTGTGACTGGCCCACCGATACCCATTCCTCCACTTAAGGGCGACAAATACGGACGTTCCACAGTACTGCCTTATCTAGAAGCTTATCATTATGGCAATGAACAGGATCAGGAAGATGTTTATTTTACTGAGCATGATGTCAATCGTATGTTAAAGATAATTTGAAACGCTATAAATAAATTTCTTAACTGTATTGTATTTTCTTTCGCAGAGGAATTGGCGCGGCGCGCTGCTTCTGCCGCAGCTGAGATACGTGCAACCAAGTCGGCTGCTGCCAGTGCCGCATGCCATTTGTACGAACCATCGACGAGTGCTGAAGCCGGAGCTGAGTCCATGCTCAACGGTTCCAGGGACGAGACGGTATCGGTTAAGAAAAAAGGCTCTGGCCTGAAGCGTCGAGCCAAGAAACTTGCATCCTGTATCTCTGTGCGAAAACTGAGCCATTGTCGTACATCGTAGGCGCTTGCCCTTACCCTAGAGTTATATGGAAAAGTAATAACTTGTTAACAAATTGTGAGCAACTTTTTGGTTTTTTTGTTTTTGTTTTTGTTGTCTTACATTCGCCAAGTATTTATTAAGATTTAAACACAGAATGAGAGCTAGAGAAAGAAAGATAGACAGGGCAGAGGAGAAAAGTAATGGACGCATATACTAAGGGTCGAGACTTTGAGCTAGCTTAGAAAGCGGGTTAGGGAGAATGCAAGTTAAATCCAAGTGACAATACCGTGTATTATATGAAAGAGAGACAGTTATTTAGGTCGTTGACATGTATTAAATGTAAAGAACAAACACGTTGAATGATTGCAATTAGCAAAGATTCGTTAAAACTATAATGCGCATCGGCATACACAAATGAGTAAATTGTTCAAATTGGCACTCTAGTTGGTTTTTGATATGCTTGAAATCAACACAATTTACAGGCGCCGACTACAAAACAAACTGCTGGACAGTATTCGCAATGGAAAATTGATAAGTGTAATTAAAATTTGAAAACTATTGAAGATTATTTAAATATATATAAAAACTGCATTTAGTTCACACAAACTTCCTTTCTATTTGGATTTCCTGAATAGATACAGCAAGATCTCTAACCTAGTTTATTATGTCGTGTATTACAACCGTGGAAGTGTTCTGATTAAACTTTCTAAATACTCGCAATTCAAACTGATCTTATTTATGGAATATTTGTTGTTTATTGACAAATTTTGTATGATTCTTAATTGGCATTGCAAACTTTAAACTTAACAGTTAGCTAACTAATTATATTATTCCAATTCTACGACTTCAATGCTGGATTTGGGCGCTGCGAATATTGCTGGCTCTGCTGTTGCCGTGGCGGGTGTACTTATGTGCAGGTCACTCATTATGAACATTTGATGATAGTGCGGTCCGAGTTTGCTGAGCTTCCGTTGCATCAGATGACGCAGAGTGTCGACATACTGCGACGGCACGTTCACTTGGCTTGTGTTGCGCCAGTGCAGACCATTGTTGTCCACGTGAAAGAGCGCAGGTGAGGGCACATGATCCTTTAAATAATTCCATATGCACTCACGCAGCAGCACAGCAATCTGTCAAGTGATGAAATGGGTGAGAGTTATTTGGTGAATAAATAATATGAATATGTATAAATCTAATCGCAAACTTACCTCCGGCGCATCGAAGTGCTCAATGATCACGTGCAGGTTGGAAAGCGGCGGCGGTATGAGCTGGCTGATGGTCAGTAGCTGTAGCAGCTTTTTAGTGCAAAGCATGAGCTCATCGTTGGCGGATGTGGGCTGAAATTTGTTGACTGAAAAAAATGGCAAATGGAAACACATAAATATTAAATGAATACATAAACTTAGTACTTGTATATGACTCACCGTTCTTTCCGCGCCAATGATGCAAGCAAGTGGCGCACAGCGCACGCAGCAGTACCGACGAGTAGCATAATGCGGGCCTGTGGGTCGCGATTAGGCCAAGGACAGCCCACAGTACAGGCGATGTTATGAAGGCACGACGTATTTGCATATCCCGCTCCATGGTGACGCGAGTGAAGTCCTCATCGGGAAAGGGTAGTCCATTGTACATGACATCCGTTGAGACCAATTCCACGAGAGTTAGCGACACCAGTGAGTATCCTTCAACGTTGTTAGGTTTTTCCTGGCAGAATAACATTTCAATAGTTTTAGCTGTATACTTAATTGATTGAAGGGTATGTGTTATGACTTACCAGATCCAAGCAGCATGCATTCAGAGCCTTTAGATACAGTGTTTGCTTTTCCGCATCGCAGGTTCTGTTGTTTACGGGCAAACCTCGTCGCAGACCTCGTCCAATAACACCTGAATGCAGGACTGAGCGATTTGAGTTTGTACCCGAGCTGGTGTGTAGATTTTGCACAATAAGCAACTCTTGTTCGGGTATTTGCAGATCATCCAGTTCGTATTCCTCTATCTGACCAAGCAAATGGCCATGATAGAAGAGTGCACTCTCCACCAGCTCACGCAGACAAACAGTGCGTGCAATTTTTCGTGCTGTGCACTGGCGCTGCAGCAAGGCAAACGCTCGATGAGCGGCTGCTGCCCGACGAATAATGGCTGGGGATATAAATAATTCATTAGCTGTTCAGTCAATGTGCGAAATTCACTAGGGACTTACTTTCTTCGGTGAGAGCCACAAAGAAGTACTTGACGCTTAACACGGCTAATTTCAGCACCAACGGTGTGCGCAGCACATTGCTGCGAGCTCCTGCCTCCATGTTGTTCAACAGCTCGACTATTAGATGCGCCAAACGCATGCGTGCTGCATCAGGTGTTTCTTCTGTCTTGGGCAATTCACCTGGTTCTAGTTTAGATCGCTTATTGGGGCCATTTCCGTTATACATATCGTGCTGTGTTTCATAGTTGTTGTTGTTGTTGTTATTGGCCTGTTGCTTTTTAAACTTCTCAGCGCTGCGCTCAGCTGCAAGCTTATCCATCCGTAACACCAGCTTTAAAATTGTGCAGTCTAGAATTTGTATTATCTTTGGCAGACATTCATTCAGCGATTGCATCAGCAACTGAGGCTTGATGTGTGAAAACTGATTCTTCTTGTGCATTCTATTGGAAATGATAAAACTTTAAAACTATGCTCAAATAATTAACATTTTTAAGATTTCTTACTTGGCCAGTAGGTTGAGGTTGTAAAAGGTATTATACGCCTCACTTGGCGTGCCGGGCTCAACGGGTAGGCGATTGTTAACCTGTTCCTGCAACATTATATCCTCTAGCACCATTTTGAAGCCTTGCGTTATGTTGGGAAAGTTAAGCACACCGCTCTGGCCCCCCAGCAAGCGTATCAGGGCTCCAATTGTATTTGGATTTTGTGCATAAGATTTGCGCAGCAGTTGTGATATGGTTTGATAATAGATATGGGGATGTTGTGAGGCTGCAAGCAATGATTTATTGAGTTAGTTATGCTAATGATTATTTATTCTTTATACTTACAGACAACGAGCAGCAATCGTACTGCTGTCTGTTGCTCCAATAGATTTGTACTCAGGCAGCTCTTCCACAGCATGTATTTAGTTTTCTCGCTTGCCAAGTCTCCAAGTAATGGAAAGTTGCGCATGTTGAGCACCCATTGCTCCAATTCCTGCATGGACGTATCCAGAAAGTCTTGACACCAGACATACTTTTCAGCCAATTTGGCAACCATTAAGAGAAGTTTGGCACCGTGTTGATTAAGGCGTAGCACAGCATTATTCAGCGAGGGCTGCATGTCGGCAAACATTTTGTTGCTTAGCCAAAGCGGCGCCTTCAGCACAATTGCCTCGCACATGTCTTCATTGTCTGTAATAGTAATATTAGTTTAGTATATAATTTGTATACAACATATACTCACATGTATCTATGAACACATTGACCAAGCTCTGTAATATTGCATCGGAATAGTTTGTTGTTATTAGCAGAAAGGGGACTATAGCCACATCGAGTGACTTTTTGGGCTCCAAGCCATCTTTGAGTAGTTCACAGAATGCGGCACGCAGTTGTTGCTCGTGGCAGGATGTCATGTAGTCCAGAATTCCGGCTTCAGAGTCCAGATGACAGCGATAATCTTCCACAAATCGCTTAATACCGCACTGCAGTATTTGCATAATAATCTTGTACGGAAAGCAACCACCCAGTCGCGCCACAATCCAGTCAAAAGTCATGGGATAGCGATGAAATGCATTCAACATGGTTTCCACACATGACTCTGCCTCCGTGTTGTTCAGCTTACGAAAGCAGCTGTTGATTAGCGTGAGTAGACCGTGCATTGCGCTGCACTCCAGCCAAAAGTTGCACGAGGCAGGAATGGTCATGCGGCGCTGTGTGTACTTATCTGATAGCTTAGCTACTAGCTCTAAACTCCAGTTGGCTATGAGTGGTGACCATGCCGGTGGACCTTTCCATATCAAATTTTGTAGCGACGTTTTGACCATATTAAAGCTTTCGTATTCCTCAGCCCGCATCTGTTGATGCGGATTGCCATCCTGTTTCATTTGCGATATAGGCAGGCCGGTCTTCTGATCAATCATTTCGGGAGATATATACAGCTGGACTCCAATCTCCGCCAGAATGCCAAAATAATCAAACACAATGTCTCGAGTGGCCGGCAGTTCATCGAGAAAACTCAACCTGTGTACGTAAAATGCATCGAGTGGAAATTATGTCGAATTCTTGCAAGTAGGACGCAGACTTACGCTAGTTTGATTAATGAGGGCTTTGTTAATAGCTGTGTATTACTGTGGCCATTGCTAACTGTGTCTATAAATTGTTTAAGTTGGTCCAATATATTTTGTTGCAACATTTTAACTTGTTTGGGTCTATTTGTTCAGCCAGCCAGAATCCGAGTACATTGAATTGTTGATATTGTATCGATACTATCGTGCGCAACCGGCTGTGCGATGACATGTTCACGATTAATGGAAAAACGATTTTATTTTTATATATCGATTTTTCAGAAATACAAGTAACGTTTTTTTTCAACATGAAGAAAAATTTTAAGCTTGCAAATGATTTTATATGAATAAATAAAAGCAACGGTGTAATATGCTAATGTTACACGAACAGAAGCATCATTTAAATAATTATTAGTAGTATAATGTATTTAAATCAAATTATTTCTAAATACATCTATATTGCTGTAAAACTACTTTCATCAAACTTAAATCATCAAACTTAAATTTAAATTTCCTTATCGATATTTGTACTCAACTGCAAATATATCATCGATATAATTGCTGCGCGGATTAATTAAAATTCAACAAAAATTTCCACTTAAGTCAATCAATCTGCATATAGTAGACATAAATTATTCAAATTGGTTGTATATGCATAAAATGCATTTTGTATCGTTTTTTTTTTTATTTTTTTAAGATCTTATCTTTTGTTTATGCTATCAACTGATTTGCATACAAATCATACATAGTATATGGATATACAATAGAGAAAATGCATAAAATAATTAAAATAGAAATTAGATTTACTAAATTCTGATGCAAATTTTTATATATTGACGCTTGAAATTTTTGTGCACCATATATTTCTTGCTAATTGACGAAATTGTCTAACTTGAGATCAATACAATGACCAATTAATATTAGTTAGCCGATTCATTAGGTTTCTGTGTCAACCAGCTGACCTTGATATCATTTCCAGCATTGCCGATGTTAAAATCGCTTACGCAATTTCTAATACCCCTGTTTGGTTTTATGTGTGTACTAAACCCATCGCAGTGGTCATCAACTTCATTCATGCTGATGATCATTATCATGATCCATCTTTAAACGAACATT